AGGAGAATCTCCTGAGTTTTATTTTTATAGGGAGTTGATAGGTTTGCATCCTTTGCTTTTACAGTGAAAATGTTGTTTGACTGAAACAGAACTGCCAGAAATTAGATAGCACTGAGTCTAGAAATCCACCGTTTTTTCTTCCTCTGTGTAATCAGCTGCATTTGTGTCATTTTCATGCTGCTGTAGCTCATATAAAACTAACACGTGTGATCTGTTCTGCATTTCTGTTATGTAGCATACAGGTTAACTACATGGGATGTGTTTTTTAGGTATCTTCTTTGTCTGAGAGCGAGGATTCTCAGGACTCATCAGACAGCATAGGCTCTACTCAGAAAGCTCGGGGGATCTTAGCACGTCGTCCATCTTATCGGTAAGTGCTGCACACACTATTTTGTGCTGTTACTTGAATCCAAAAGAGCAGCTTCTTCTGACAGCTTTCTCTGTTCCATCGACCCCTGCGTTGTTTTCCTCCTTTTGAAACATGGGTTGGATCTGCTCGTGCACTGCACAAGTTGAGGATGCCACGTGAGCAATCATTTGCTGCAGGGAAACTTTGACTTAACGGACTGGAGGTTGACTTGGAGGTGATGTGGCCCAGGGAAAATTGTTTATCAGCTCTAATTTCACTCCGTGATGTCATAAATGCAGGGAACAAGTAAGCAGTCTCACTGTGTGCTGACAGAGCAAAAGATCTTACTTAAAACTTTTCTGAAATAACTTTCTGGTTACTTTTCCTTTCTCGTTTATTCAGACATTAGACAGAGCAAACTGGTTTTAACTGGGTATCCAAGGTTTGTTCTTGAGAGAACTGAGTATCAAGTTGTAACTCAGAAAAATCCCTTCCTAGGCCAGCTATAAACCCCTGGAAAAATGTTTGTGGTGGAAACTCTGATGCAGGATTGTACTGAAATGAAGTGATGCAGCTGCAGTACAAGACAGACTTCAGTACGAAGTGTTTTGGCACACTGGAGATAACTGAAATTTACTCTGGGTGGTGCAGGTTCTCACTGCAGGTTTACCAGTCCAAGGATTTCAGGCTTTTAGAGGATAATTACTGAAAACGTGGGATTTGCACTGACCTGCACATACAGATCTCTTATAAATCAGTAACTGTCTTGAATTGCTTTTAACACATGAAATGGTTCAAATAATTAAATAAAAAACCTAGAATGTAAAACTACAGAAATGTAATTACAGAAGGAGTTGGACACAGTCACCTCATGCAAAATTCTGGTAATCCTCAAACTCTTTTCTATCAAAAAATCAGTGATCATTTCTGCAATGCAAAATAGGAATAGTAGTTGGCAACTATTACTGCTCTAATTTGTGATCTCTGCCTGCTGTTACAGCTGATAAACTCTTCTTTTTCATAGAAAAATTTTGAAAGATCTCTCTTCTGAAGATACACGGGATAGAAAAGGAGATGAAGAAAGTCCTGGGGTCTCCACTGTTACGTCCATGTCTGTTCCCACACCCATCTACCAGACAAGCACTGGACAGTACAGTATGTTGTACAAAACGTGTGCCTACCTGCATAGATTTCTGCTAAACTTACAGTAAAATACAGATCTGTTTCTTTTACGTTTGAGACTAAGATGAAATTCAGAAGGTTTGGTTATTTATCTAATAGTTAATAACATTAGTACTGTTTCGTATCTGAAATTAGACAGGTGCTTTATTATCTTAATTTTTGCACATCCAGACAAGGCATTCAAAGGATGTTTTTATGAAGCACAGAACAGTCTGTTAGATTTAGTCCAAAAGGTGTGATTGGGTACCACTGAATACCTGAGATCTGCACTGAAAGGCTCTTTGTGGGCCGCAGAAGAATGCCTGGAGGACCTCCTGTCCCCCTGTTCTGTGGCCTTGGTGTTCATATCACAGAATCACATGTTGCTGTTTCTCACTTCTTTTCCCCCTTGGCCCCAGGGATGGGTTCATTAAAAGCCTTTTGAAATTAGCAGTGCTTTTCAGCAGTGGGTTGAGATACAGATTTGCGACTGGAAGAGATGTACATTCTGCAGCCTCATCTGTGTTTTATAATGTACAGTGACAGATATTTTCTTGCATGTCCCTTTCTCTTTAAGTTGCCATTGCTGCAAATGGATTGCAGCTGGCCAGTGCTGGTGCTGATGGAGTGCAAGGCCTGCAGACTTTAACCATGACGAATGCTGGCGGGACTCAGCCTGGGACGACAATCCTGCAGTATGCACAGACATCAGATGGCCAGCAGATACTCGTACCCAGCAACCAGGTGGTAGTGCAGAGTGAGTATGGGATCGGTTACAAGTGCTGATCAGTAACACAGGTGTGTTTTGGTAACGCTGCCACATTTTGACGTGTTATGCTGTGACCACCACAGCTGCATCAGGAGACATGCAGACCTACCAGATCCGCACCACGCCGACCACCACGTCCCTCCCCCAAACCGTGGTCATGACATCTCCTGTCACCCTGACATCACAGTCCAGTAAGACAGACGATCCGCAGCTGAAACGAGAGATAAGGCTGATGAAGAACAGGTATGTGAGTGCACTTGGGCTGCCTTGATTGTGCTGAGGTCACAGAATCACAGTATGTCAAGGATTGGAAGGGACCTTGAAAGATCACACAGACCAGCCCCCCTGGTCTGTGTGACCCAGATCAGGTCACACAGGAGTGCATCCAGGCAGGTTCTGAATGTCTCCACAGAAGGAGACCCCACGGCCTCTTTGGGCAGCCTGTTCAGTGCTCTGTTACCCTCACCATGAAGCTTTTTCTCATGTTTTTGTGGAACCTCCTATGTTCCAGCTCACACCCATTGCCCCTTGTCTTACCATGGGATGTCACTGAGAAGAGCCTGGCTCCATCCTCCTGACACTCACCCTTTACGTATTTATAAACATTAGTGAAGTCTCCCATCAGTCTCCTTGAAGCTAAAGAGACCCAGCTCCCTCAGCCTTTTCTCATCAGGGTAGATGTGCCTTCAGAGGACAGGGATCAGTCATGTAGGCTAACACTGCTGCCATCAGTGTGGTGTGCTGCAAACGGTGACCAAAAATTGGAAATTTTGATCAAAATGTGCCATGTGCTCTGTCTGTCCCACACCATCTAAAGAAAACAGGTTTTTTTTCCCTGCAGATTGATATGTGTTACCAGGTACTGCTCAGTGTCATGCTTTCCACCTATGGTGGTGCAGCTTTTCGTTTGTTTTGTTCATGATTTCACTTCCCTCCTCGTGTTGGTCAGTATTGTAACACTGGTAAAAGAGACGAATCTCAGATAAACAACAATGACTTCTGTTCTGTATTGCAGAGAAGCTGCTCGAGAGTGCCGTAGGAAGAAGAAGGAATATGTGAAATGTCTGGAGAACCGAGTTGCAGTCCTGGAAAACCAGAACAAAACTCTAATTGAAGAGCTAAAAACTTTGAAAGATCTTTACTGTCATAAAAGCGTGTAAGAAAAAGGAGGTAAAACTTTGGTGGACTGTTGAAATTTCAGAGGAGAATTTTTTTTTTTTATACTGAATTTTTTAACTAGATGAAAGGTCAAAAGTGAAACTTTTCTACCTAGATTTCACAACCTAAAGACTGTATAGATTTTATTTACAACGTGTTGGTGACAAAGTACAAAAAGGAGATGAGAAAACCTCACCACAATTCCTGCTGGCACAACTGGAAACGTTACATACAGCCAAGATTGCATCTACAACAAAAGGATATTGGCATTTTACCAGGCAGGTGATCAGAATTTCTCTGGCAGTTTTTACCTCTTGTAATGGGGACAATATTTGGTTTCAATTAAAACGTGGATGGAATGGAATCCTTGCCATAGTTAACATTGTTAGTAACATTTATAACCAGTGTATGTTTTGATTTCTTAACTCTTTCAATCCTTGCTCTTCCTTTCAGTTATCTGTATGTAAATATTTTAATTTGAACCTGTAAGTTGCTATTTACAGGTGCAGGTGATAAGAAGCTAATCCTGTGCTCGGGGCGTAAATTATGTTTCCTCCTTTTCAGCTGACAGTTTTACAGGTTTTTCTTTTTGTTTTTTTGTTTTTTTGTGTTTTTTTTTCCTTCAATGTTTGCTGTGTTTATCAAATTAGGAAAGGATCTGCAGAAAGCAGCGAGAGGAGCAGCCCTGAAAATGCCTGGGGTGCATGGATTGGTGTTGAATTCAGAGAGCTCAACACATGCAATTGTTTTAAAGCACAGTTTGGTAGAATGAGGAATGGTGCACAGAAGTTTCTGGAGGATGATTTCACAATGGTTTGTTTTTAGTTGCTGGGCACAATAGGCATCTATAATGGAACAAGAAATGGTGTGCTGATTATCTATACAATTAAATATGCACTGTTTATTCTGTCTGGAGATTCTACTGTGCTTTGGGACGTAAACCAAATAGAAGTACGATAAAGCAGAGAACAGAAGAAAATACCAAAGGGTTTCATGAGGTTCTATGGTTTGTATGCTGAAAGTGGTGCGAAACTTCTGGACTAATTTTGTAAAGTAGGTGATATTTTGCAAAGTAATGGTATCTTTGTAAGAAAATACTCTATTGAAAACAGGTAGATGGTCGGTATATTTTGTAGCTGAATTGTGATCTTTACAAGTTCCGAAATTAAGTTTATATACGTATTTTGACAGTTTATATATTTCATTTTAGTAAACAAATGGAATATTTTGTGAACCAGATTTTCAAGCATATATTTTTATGGATAGCACAAAGTCAAATGAGATCCTCTTTGGTGTAGGAGATATTTGAACTAATTTTATATGTCTGTAGGCAACTTACAGAAGAAATGGATCCTGGGGAAAAAAATGAATCGGGGCTTTTTTCCCTACATTGATAATATCTGCACATTAGATCTGATTGCTCTCACAGATTCTGGTTGGTATCACTTTGATTTGTTTCAGGCAGAGTTTGATGTGACCAGGGCTTTCTGGGTTTTAAAATTCATGTGGGCAGCACTGGGAGTCCTCCTCACCCCCACAGCTCCCTCCAACCTCAGCTGTTCTGCCATTCTGTGACACAGACAAACGCATGCGCAGTGCTTCTTGCATGATGCATAAATGCACTATTCTCCACAGTTAGGATTGAATCCTGCTTCCAGAGCTGTCAGCAGGAATTGCACTATGGGCTACGCTGTGCAGAAGGTGTTAGAGCTACGTGTGTGTGCTGTGCTAGCTCGGACCTGGATGAAGTTAGGAGATGTGCTCATTCCCCGGGTGTGTACTGCTTTCCCTGTGGTCACTTTTTATTTTATTCATTTTGAACTCATGGGTTTCTGAGCAAGCAGAGCTCTTGCAAGTGCTGTGAGAGAGACTGCACTCCACAGTCCCACTGTTAGCAGGCTATAGAAACATTTTTGTTCCAGACTTTCTGAATAGAACGCGCCCATCATCCACATTTCCTTTAGGCCAGACTGGAGCGTACACTCGTGTTCTCAGTCATGTCAGACACAAAAAGAATGCTTTTGTTGCACATCAGCCATAACGAGCAATGCTGAGAAAGCCATTAGATGAGTAAATTGCTCCTGGAGAGTGCTCGGCACCTCCAAAATTGGACTGTCACTGTCTGCCATCAGTGTGTGTACACTTCAGAGGGACTGATCTGCAGTGCTGGGACTGGTGTGGCAGCTCCTCTGTGCAGTATCCTCATCCTCACTGCGTGCTGTCGTTCCTTTACCTTCTTTTGTAATACGGAATCATAATAATAAAAGAAGTCATCACATGTTAAGACTGTACAAAAAATGGTGGCCAATTCTTTCTGTATTTCAGCGAGTGGAGCAAATACAGAGTGCTGCCAGGCATAACGTTAGGCAGTGCTTATCCTCTTTTGGAAAGAGCAGCTGGATTTTGCATCATGGAGGTATTCACCAGTAACATGGGTTTGCTCTTTAAGTAATCACTCATCACAAAGTACTGATTTTGGATTTACTTCAAAGAGAGAGAACAAAATTCGTATCCTGAGAGTGAGAAGTGTAGTACCAAACACTGCTCTGCTGTTTTGTTCCAAACCAACGTATGTGCTTTATATGAACTGTAAATATTTGTCAAAACAATTAGATGGTTGCAGATTTTGACCTTGGTAAATAAAGTCGCCAAAAGATAACTGATGTTCCTTATTTCTTGTCCGACTTGCTTTTACTTAACACAGGACTGCAGCAGCTCTGAATGTCTGTCCTGTGTAGCATGGGGTCAGAAAGCAGTGCGTGATGATGGAGCAACACCAGAGATCTCTTCCCACGTGTGTCCTCCCAGCACTCGCAGTGCTGCGCTGTCGTGCAATCCTTAGTGGAGAGCACTTTTGGTCTTTCTGCAGGTATTTGTTTCAGTTCAGCCTCTGGTAACTGAAACCATTGTGTGTTCTGCTGACGTTCACCCAGCAGAGGGAGCATCTGTGCCATCCACAGAGCCGTGGTGGGATTCCATAGTCCCTGTTTCTGACAGCTGGAAAAGCATAGAAGTAGGGTAGGGAAGAACATTTCCAGCTGGTGCAGTTCCTGTACTCATTTTCATTATTAGGGTCGAGGTCATTACCATTTCTTCTCCTGTTGGTAGTAAAGCAGAAAGCAGAAAAGATGGTAATACACTGCACACATTTGGGAGCACTGGTGTTTTTAATGTTAGATTTCACACTTTTAGGATTGCTCTCACCAAGCTAACACTCTCACATTTACAGTCTCCATGCAGGTCCATGGGAGAAGCTTTTCACAAGAGAAAGCCACCAATTTATCTCAAGGAAATTGTGCTTTATTGTAAGAATGCCAAGATGTTCAGTGAGACACACTGCAGCATTCCTTGAAGTGAGTTTAAGTAGAACACAGTGCATAAAGTGGTGAGATGTTAATTCACTGCTTCCTTCTGACAAACACAATTGATAATCACGTTATCATCGTTGTGTTATCATTGTGACATACACTAATGAGTTTTAATGTAATGAATTCATGTAACCTCAGAAAAGATGGGAGGTTATCACAGTTTGAAACCTCACATCCTTAAAAAATACTGCTGGATGTGCGTATGAACTATTTATTACCCTGCTGTAGTTCCTACATTTACAAGAAATGACTCAACTCCAGATTTTTTTTAAGTCTTGTTTACACATGCAGATTGGATGCACACAATATGTCCTATTGCTCCAAGACCTGTTGTGGAACATGAGCTGAATGGACCAGCCGAGCTGTGCTGTGCTGATGCTGCTTTAGGAAGTGTGCAGGAGCACCATCCCTATGGCAGTCAGGGGAAGGGCAGTGCTGGCAGGAGCTGTGGCTGTGCTGCTCAGCAGAAGTTGGGATTTGATCCACCTTCTGTATGGAGCCAATCGGACGTAGATTCCGGGGAATCTGGGATGGCCGCAGCCGAGCCCGAAGCTGGTGATCCCCATCACGTAGTATTTGTTGTCTGTGGGGTGGTGGCACGCCAAAGGCCCTCCACTGTCTCCCTATAAATAAACAATAACAGAAATTAGTGACTATGTTCCTCTCCAGGAAACGATTTAGAAGCACCGGTAATGAATCCACTTATTTTAATGAGTTACTGGAAGCAGCATGGAGCTGTGTAGGGTCAGAAATACTCTCTGACTTTGCATTCTGAGTCCTGTCCACACAGCTTTGTGCAGAGGACACATTCTGACAATGTATGTCTGCAATAACCAGGAAACACAGCGATGAAAACACAGCCTGAATCTGTGCCAAATCACTTGCTTAGAGAAAAAGAGCTGAGGGAAGCAGGAAGTCTATCAGACTAATGACACACTTAGGAATGCATTGTTTTTTAATTATAAATGGCTCCGCATCCCAGCTGATGCCTCAATTTTAGCACAGGGCTCCTGACCTGAGAACTGTTGCTTCTGAGAGAGAGATACTGAGCGCTCAGCATTTAAATGCAGCTCTTGCTGCTGAGCGCCCGGTGCTGGTGTTGCCTTTTCAAAAGCACAAAACCACGCAGGATGCATCGTGGTGCACACACTGCGTGCATACATTGTGTGTGCACACGTGTTTCAGCAGTGCATGATCTCTGTGACACCTGCATACCACGATGGTGTTCGTCCTGTTAGCTCAGCTGAGCTCTTTGTGCTTCTGAGATGTGGGGTTTCACCTCTCTTTCTATTTGTGATGCCTCTTTCCCAGTCGGATCTATTTTCATTCCAGCATTTGTGCCATTTTAATTAACGATGCTATGAACAGTGGTCACCAGGATGCCCTCCATGTTTTTTATGGGGGGAGGATTTTACCTGGCACGAATCAATGCCTCCTGATGGAGAGCCAGCACAGATCATGTTGGCATTGATCAGACCTCCATATGCATCAGAGCCGTTACAGACATGAGAAGGAATGATTTCTACTTCAGCCTCTTGCAGCACAGACGAAGTTTTGCCTGTAGTGGAAGACAGCACATAGAAAAGTCAGGCATTGCTGCTGCTGTGTGTAGCAGTTCTTGCTGTGGTGTCCTTTTCCTGTTTTGTCAACTTAAAGGTATCTGTGTACGTGCTCAGATGTGTGTTAGCATAGAGGTCTGCCTTCCCATGGCACAGCGTGGCTCGTTAGCCTTGCTGGAAATGCCACAGGTGCTGTACTCACCATGACACAGCCTTCAGCTCTCCTCCAAACCCCCTCTGTGCACGGTGCCAGCTGGGGTTGCATCACCTGCTCTCATTGTGGTGAAATGGAATTTGAGGGAGAGCAGCCACTCCTGAAACCAAGTGGGACCTCTGAGCTGAGAGGGCACTTTGTGAGAGCTGTTATTTTTTGAGATAAAAGCTCTTTGAGAGGAGCTCTTTTAGAAGAGCTCTTAAGCGTATCGTGACCCTGAAAGCTGTGTTTCTTTTCCTTTATTTGCATTATCCTCAGCAGGAAGGCCACGCATGGATGCCTTCAGTTGCACCTGGGCAACCTTAATCTGCTTTCAATGGCAAAAGCACTGAGAGCAGATCGTCAGCTGCAAAAGGATGAAATGATGCTATGGGGTGAGAGCACAACCCGAGCAAACACAGAGAACCCAAAGGACTGAAACCTCACATCAGCACCGGAGCTGATGGCGTATCAACAAACGTTTACCTTTTTCTGCTATGCGTCCCCAGCCGCTGATAAAGCACCTTGGCTCGTTGTTGGGGTACAGCTGAGGGTGTGCGGGGGGTAAGCAGATGGGTTGGATGTAATCGCTGTAGTGCACAGCAGAATGAAGTTTAAACAACGCGATGTCGTTTTCAAACGTCTCTCTGTTGAATTCGGGGTGCACGGAGATGTGGGTGATGCTTCTTTTTGCTGCATGTTTGCTGTGTTTCCAAAGGCTATTTGTGCCCAGCACAGCTCTCCAATAATACGGGTCCCTAAGGGAGAACGCAGTCAGCATGAGCTTGCAAAAACTTCTGTGTAGATTTTGCAACTGTGTTAACAACTACGGTGTTGGGACGGCCAAAATGCAGCTTTGGGCGCAGTTAAAAAGCCTCTTCTGAAAAGGTTTGTGCCCATGTTGTCAAGGAAAAGGAGTTGTGTTGAATTTGTTGCTTGTTAAGCAGGAAAAAAGAAATGGGAATGGAATGGGGGGAAAACAATGGAGCACTACAGAGTTGTTGTGTTTCTCAGCTGAGTATTGCAACATTTTCTTTTTGCGGTGAGCTTTGCTTGTTTAGAAAGGGCGGTTAAAGCTTTGCTTTGCTTATTTAGAAAGGTCTGTTGAAAAACCAAAAGCTCATGGGGAAAAAAAAGATAGGCAAAGCAAAAAGAAAGCCCCCAGCCCAACAGAGATGTAACCTGGGCCCAAAAGGACTGAGCCGAGCAGCGCGTTCAGTGCCACCCGTGGGGCTGCAGATGGGTTCTGCATCAGCAGAGCTCTGCCCACCCCACGTCCCGTTCATTGGCACTTTGTTTAAAGGCTCCCACAGTAACGATCTGCACATCTGCTACACCTTCCCTATACATACACAAAAAGCAGCTGATACCCACATCCGCCCCGTCGTGCAGTGACCGGCGGTGAGCACCGAGTTCTCACTGACCAAAGCTCCGCCGCACACGTGGGCAAATTCCACCCCCACCAGGTGAACCTGGAGGCTGACGGCCCACGGGCACGCTCCCAATGGGACGTCGTGGCCGCCCACAATCCTGGATCCCGAGCTGCCATCCATGAGCGGCCGCCGTCCGCACTCTGCAGAACAGAACGAAGTTGGTTGTGGGGCTCGAATGCAGCCTTTGGTGCATTGGCTGCAGTGTTTGCTGGCGGTGCTGGTGGTGTTTTTTCCATCTGCTGTGTTACTTGCTGTGTGGTTTTTTTTTAATGTTTGGAGTTGGAGTGCTGATTCTGGAGAGAAAATGTGGGTGTTTCATTCCACATGAAGCGCATTTTACCCGGTTGCAGGCGTATTTCTTGCCTTCAGGTTCACTGTGCACATCAGTGACGGTGTCCCAGCCACTGCAGCTTTGTGAATTCATCAGGTTTGGGGACAAAGTTTTTACGTGGAGTTTTGTGTGGAAGCTGCACAGCAATCAGCCCAGCCCCAACTCCCACCACCTCCCACTGCTCCCCCAAACCGCCCGTTGGCCACCTCCATCCCATCAATACCAACGAAGACCTCCACGGACATCCATGGTGCCACCACAGCGGGCATGGTGCTGGCCAGGATCCACAACAGCAGCACGGAGGAGGTGGGCAGCTGGGGCTGCATCCTCCTTCAGGGGCACAAGATGGCTGCAGGGCCACCAACGGCCACCAACAGCTTCTGATGACCACTAATGGGGCTGAGGCACCCATAGGGCACCTTAAAGAAATCCCTGAGTGTGTTAAGCACAAGGCTTTTAATGCTCTGCTGGCAAACTGAGGGCCACACAAGGGCAGGCAGGCAGCCAAGCAGTGAGAGTGGCGATGGGTGTTGGGTGTTACCCTCCCAGCATTCTTTCTTTGCAAATAAATAACTCTCTGTTGAGCAAAGATTGTGTGTCAGAGGTTCTGCATTGGTCTGATAAGGCCAGAGAGCCTTCAAAGTGCAGGGAGAGGGACGTGAATGCCAGTGCTGCTCTCAGCATGGGCCTGGGACCTCAGTGGGGAGCGGGGGGCACTTCCAGGTGCAGATGGAGGGGGTTCGTGTCTTTGTTTTGTCTGTCAAGCTTTGCTGTTCTGCTTTTTTGGTGGTGTGGGGGTCCCACCATGCCCACGTATTTGGGGACAGTATTGTTGGTAGGTGGGTCATTGGACCAGGTACCTTAGAGGTGTTTTCCAAACTTAATGATTCTGTTGGCTCTATATACGGTTCCAAAGCCTTTATTGCACACCCAGCAAAGCGCTTTTAATTTAAAAATATTCACAAAACTGACCTTCCTCCTCCATTTCACGTCCAAATCAAACATTTATTACCGTTTTCAACCACGCTGCCTACATTCATTGGCCAGGATTAGTCGATGCTCTTTGTGCCCTTTGATCATGCCCAGGAGTTGTGGAGGTGAGCAGCACGAAGCTCCACGTCATTTCACGCCGTACCCAATGATGTGCGGCTTAATGGGAGTCCAGGGCAACGGCACGCTGATGTGCTGCAGTTTCAGCTCCGAGAAATTGGCCTCTTCCAGATCCTTCCATATCTCCCTGGTCAGGCAGCAGCCATCAAACACGAGTTTCCATGTCGGGTAGCAAACCTGCTGCCAGAACAGCTTCCAGCTGGAAGGGTTCGCGGCCACGTGCTCCAAGAAATAAAAAACGCCTCCCTGGGGGTGGAACACAGCTCAGTGCCATAGGAACACACACTGCCCTCCCGCTGCTCGGTGCCCATCACCCCCACCTCCCTCACCCCACTGCATTCTCCCTCCCCTCTCTTTGCTTTTCTGATGTTGATTGGAATTAATATCAGCACAGACTTGAAGTGCATATTTCAGAAGCGTGCAGGATGCCCCTATTTGGTCCCTCCTTGATTGCAGCAATAGTTTGTTGCCTTCTTGTTTGCACTACAGTTGCTAACGTGCTGTTTTGTTTCAGTGCAGACTGAGAGGAATGTGAAAGCCCCAATAAAACTCATTGGATTTTTGCAGCCCAGGGTATTGGCTTGGAAATAGCATTTTAATGGCTGACGTCCTACTGCAAAACAAAACAAAAACAGAACAACAACAAAAACCCCCAACAAAATCAAAACATTAACCCAGCTTTCCCTTTTTATTTTTATTTTTTGACCGTATGTTTCCATTGCTTTGCACCACCCAGCAGTGCCGAGTGCCTCTAACTCTTATCTTATAATCCGGGTCTGGGTTGTAGCCTCAAAAACTTCTTTTTTTTCCTTTCTTTTTCCTCTTTTTCCTTTTTCCTTTTTTCCTTTTCCCTTTCCTTTTCCCTTTCTTTTTCCCTTTCTTTTTCCCTTTTCCTCTTTTTCCCTTTTCCCCTCTTTTTTCTCCCCTTGTGCTCTGCTTCTGCAATAGCTGCTTACAGCAATAACCTAAAACTTCTCCTCCAAGCACTCACCGGTCTGAGCACGCGCTGCACTTCCTTCAGGGTTTTGCTCACACTCTGCACTGAGCAGAGGACCAAAGTGCAGACAACAGCATCCACGGAGCCATTGGGCACCTGGTGCAGGTCCTCCCCGGCTGCCGTGAGGAAGCGCTCGTAGTGGATGTGCTGATTCTTGCTCATGCTCCTGGAAAGGCCCTGCTGGAAGTTGGGGTTCACATCACTGCAGGTGACTCTGCAGCCCGGAGGGTAGAACTGGAAGTTGGCTCCGCATCCTGTGCCGATCTCCAGCAGCTTCAGCTCTCCCGACGGCCCGGCGAAGTCGGGCAGATTTCGGAATAATTCCTGCTTCTGCTTCTTGGTTTTCCTGTTGTGGATCACAGTCAGCTTCTCTAAGAAGAAAGGGAAAAAGATCTTCTTGCAGAACGGCTCCCATATGCCCAGGAAGGACAGCAGGTAGATGGGCATGGCCAGCAGCGCCAGGCAGGCGCGGAGGAAGAGGATGGTGAGCTCCATCGCGGGCAGGGAATCCAAATGAAGCAAATCTGGTTCTGCTGCCTGTCGCAGCCCCGCAGGCTCAGGCAGAGCTGCACTGAAACGTTCCCAGCTCGCTGCCTTGTGGGCCCAGCAGCGAATTTGAAGTCCTCTCACACACAGGGAAGGGAAAACCAGAGCTGTGTAACCAAAGTTACGTCCCAGCTCCGGAGCTGCCAGCAGTGTTAAGTAACCCCGGCCAGTTGGGCAGCACAACCTCGTGCTTCAGTGCTGGCAAAGTGTCAGCAAGTGCCCAAATGTGGAGTTTGCAGTTTCAGGTTACATCTCTCAAAGCAGAACAGTGCTGTTTTTGTGAGCACAAGGAAGTCGGGTTGAGTTCTGGGTTTGTTGTAGATGTTTAATCGGGAGTTTGATGAATACTGCAGCTGAAGCACACTTATTTGTCGTTTCCTGCCCCATTGCAGATGGGATCAACCCATCTGCTGCCTGAACTGGGCTCTCACAACAGCAGTTTTCAGTATTTGGGCACCAAAAATTCTTCACAGCACAAACAGGGGCTCCTTTGCAGGGAATGATTTTGCTTTTCTTGTTACCTTTGATGGGAATCATGGACCAGAGAGGAAACAACTTATTAAGTCATTAATCACTGCACAAAGTGTGCAGCTCGGTTTTATTGACTTTATCAGCTCCAGTCAACAGCTAATAACCTATTTGATACTAATTGCATTCTGTCAAACTTCTCCAGTTGCAATCAGCAGCACTGGGTGCAGTGTGGATTAACTGCTGGCTTTTAATTGCTTTGGTTCGGGTGACCCAACTGTAGGGAAAGGACTGCAGGTCCCGAATTCCATCCGTTCCATTGCAAACCACGAGAGAGAACTTTGTTTTTGTGCCTGCAGCCCTGCTGTCCGATGAGTTCCCTCCTCCCTCTAGTGGCAATAAAGCAAAACCCAAATCCAGCACACGGCGGTGCATCGTCAGAGTGCTCTATGAATAACCTCTGTTCTCATACCTTCACACCTCGCGGTACCCGAGCAATGGGAAGTCCTTTGGGTGTATGTTCTGTGTAGACTGATTGAGTCAACCAACACCAATCTTCTCCCAAAGTAAGGGGAAGTCCATCTTTCTGGCTGCGTAGGTCTCTGGTTTGGGTTCCATCTGAGCTGACAGCACTGGCATCATATGGCAGGTGAGAACCAGGCAGAGAACTGCTGTGGTTCCCCAGATAAACTGAATTCCCACCAGGGAGGACTTGTGCTGCCATTGGGGAATGAATGGGAAGACAGAAATCAAAATACTTGCACTGATGCTCTATCTATTATGTATGGGAACATCAAAGGTTGGGTGTTACTCTCTGCCATTAGGAAATCATTAGCTCTCTGCACTTGCTTGTATGTATTTCCTGTTCCCTTTCTTCCATCTCTCCCTTCTTATCTCCCTAGGGTGCACAATCCTCCTTTATTTAAGATGTTTTCTCTCTTCTTTCCTGGTTTTTGTGCAACAGCTCTAAGAGCTCTACCCAGAAAGCCAGTCCCACAGAAGGAGAGCATTATTTGCTCTGAATGAGCTGTGGATGCTCCCTCCAGTTTCCACGCTTCTGTTCTGCAACTCAACCTCCTTTCCTAGAAGCCACACATGCAAGGTTTGTATTTGCTTTGGGCTTTGTCATCTCTATGGCTGCCTCCCGTTTGGTTTTCACTGAAGGAGGTGGCTATTATGGGATGACTACAAGTTTACTGGGCCTGCAGATTGTCTTAGGTTGTCGAACAGGACTCGATTCTGCTTGTAGGCTTTGTGGTTGTAGGTTGGTGCAACCCTTGCCATGATATACAGGAAAACCATCCTACAGAAGGAGTCCCATAGGGCCACATGTGGGGCGGGATGAGGAGCTGCATGCAGCTCTGGGGGAGGGCACTGAGCACCATCCATACGGAGCTGTGCATGCAGTGTGTGTGCAAGGAGCCGCACGTGCAATGAGAGTGCACTGAGCTCTGCATGCAGCGGGTTTGCACTGAGCTCTGCATGCAGCAGGTTTGCACTGAGCTGTGCATGCATTGGGTTTGCACTGAGCACTGCATGCATTGGGTTTGCACTGAGCTCTGCATGCAGCAGGTGTGCATGGAGCCCTGGAGCTGTTTCCTGGTGCCAGATTCCCCCTGAACCGGATGTGTCTGTCTGTCTGGCCACACTCCAGAATCTGCCTTAAAGCAACAGAGCTGCAGTCTTACAAAACTGCCTGAAAGGGGCCGGGAAAGCAAACCCTGTTGAGCATTCCTGCTTCCCACAGCCAACATTGGAGGTGTAACTGTGAACGTCCAAGTCTCCTGGAATGCTTTCCCTGCATATTAAGGACCACAATGAAAGGCAGAAAGCACAGATCTGCTCTGAGCTTGGTCAGGGGAAGCAACCATCCCAACCTTCACGTGTGCATTGCCTGCCAGCTCTGTGCACTGCTGTCTCATGGTGCTCTCTGACAGCAGCAAACCCCAGAGCTTGCAGGTTTTGGATATTGGCTCATCTCACTAAGAGGACTGCATGCTTGTGCAACACCAGGATTGCACTCACGGTGCAGCGCATCCTCCTCGATCATTGCAATCTCTTTGGCTGTCTGCATCTAACAAGCTGTTCAAATGACAGTCATCCCAACTACCAAACTTTGTTCAGCTGCTCCAAGCAGTGGTCAGCTGGGCACAGCCACACCATGTGCTTTGCAGGGCTATCTCTGTGACACATCCTTATCCACAGCTTAGGAACGGAGCGTGCATTTCAGAGGTCACTGCACAAAAAGGGAAGGGAGAAGTGAGGCTGTAGTGATGGAATAAAGAAAAGAGGATCTTTATCAAGCATGCATTGATTTGCACCAAACAGCCACGTGCTGCTTAAAAGAGACAGCACAGTGCCAGGTGGCAACTGCTCAGATTGGGAATTACAGTTATCCTGGTGGCGTTGCATGAGTTTGGGTGGTTTTGTTCTCTCTGAACCCAAGGGAGGGTTTTATGTCTGTTGTTTGCTTTACTGGCCTGATGACAGGCAAGCAACATCATTCGTGGAGTTGTTATGGGTATCTGCTTCTCAAGGCAGCAGTATTTTGGGAATACTTCTGAACTCTGTGTGTTCCCTTTCAGCCTGGATTGGGCCAACGCTCTGGGTAGAGCTGATGGTCGATCAGAGCTGGGCAGACCTGATGGGCAGAGCCAGCAGAAGGATGAGCAGAGCACTGCCCAGTAACTGCACAGAGTTGAGCTGAACCTCCTGCCCTGGACCCAGGGGGGTCTGTAAGAGGCTCTGCTGGGACCCCCTGTGTCAGTCAGGAGCTTCTTTTGTTGTTTTTGTGATCACTGATCACCCTCTGAAGGCACTGCCCTATATATTCCTTATAGAGGCATGCTTAAGGACGTCTCACACAAAGTGCAATTACACCCCTGGGGCTCCAGAACGTCCTCAAAGAAAGTATTTCTGGTGGCCCCATGTGCCTGCTGTACCCCACCTGGGGGCACTGATCCCAGCTCCACGTCTGGGAGATGCTCTCTTCTTTCGGAGCCATTTGTCATCAGCAGATTGTTTTATCCCTCGTTTCCTCAGTTTTATTTCCACTTATTTGGCATCTGTTTGGGAATTCAGACCCTGAGGGAGAACCTCAGCACTGCAAGGAGGTGCGGTTGGAACCAAAACTGTCCCGAAATCGGCAGCTCTGCGCAAACACAGATTGGATGTGTGTGTTGTGATGCGTTATGGATGGGGAGACGGACATTTATGGGGCTGTGCCTGCCCTGATGTCACACTGGGGCGGTCCCATAAAAGCCAGCGATGTGAAGTGAGGGCAGATTCAGCTCCCGTGTGGTAACAAAGTGAGATGAATGCGTCCTGCAGCGCGGTGCTGCGTCCTGTTGCCTTGTCAGCTCAGCTCACTGCTCAGAGGGCAGAGATTTACAGTTTTATGGAGAGGACACTTCCACAAGGTGGATTTCTCCTAAAGCAGCAGCCTGACCCGGTGCTTCAGGCTGTGCTTTTTGCAACGCAGACGCAATCCTATGGAGAACAAGAACGACGTAGTGATAAAAACTGATCCCAAAATTCCATTCGTAGGTACCCATGGTTGTTGGTCAACCGACTGAGCCTTCCCTTGGCCATTGCTTGGTGGTTGTACTGGGAAGCCACGCAGTGGGAGCAGCGAGCTGGCCACTGAAGCAAGCAGCATTAACATGCAGTACATCACAGTGCAAACACAGGGGGTTTTCAGTGGAAACTCCATCTTCCCCCAGGTCTGCTAACAGAGACTGGGAAGAGCAAATGGAATTTTAGGTGCCACATTCTGCACACAGCTCTCTGTAGGTTTTGTGCCTCCAAAATCATCTGTCTTCCAATAGTTTGACTGATCGAAGATATTTCTCCCCTAAAACTGTGCTCTGATTACACCAACACGTTTCTTCCCAAAGTGACAGCGAGCAAATCCACTCCTGTGCTGAGTGTGTGTTGCAGCAACAAAGAGGAGCAGAGGTGTCCGGCCCTCAACCAGCATCAACAGCTTCAGCTTTGATTGCTTCCATTGCCTTTCCTCATTTCTCTTTTTGTTTTCCTCCAAACAATAGATTTTGCTCTTTCTGCCGCTTCAGAGCTCTCTTCACATCCCAGCTCTGCCCAGTGCTGCCCATAGCAGCAGTCCCCTCTTAACCCAATGGATCCCAAACAACTCCAGCCCTGGAGCCAGCTTCCATTCGTGCACCTCCAAGCAGGGGATGGCTGTGCAGGTCCAGGGCTGAGGTCATGGAGCGGTTCTTGTTGACACATCAGTGATGGGCACGGCTGCCTGAGGTCCTCAAGATCTGCCTTATCATGAAGGTGTTGGTTGGTTGGTTGGTTGGATGGACGGTGCAAAGTTTTCCTCTTCCTCTCGTTGCCACCACCTTTCACCCATCGAACTCCATCCTGCGCTGGGAGGGACGCCCATGGGCGCTGAACCCAACGCCGCACACGGCACACTTTGCTGCTGGACTTTTTGCACTTATTTCTCAGTAGTTCCGCACGGAGGGCGGGTCAGCTCGAAGCCGAACATTGGGCTGAACAAAGCCCAGCTGCAGCACGAACAGCGGCCGCGTTCCATTCGTCCCCAGCGGCGTTCGGGGCCGGTTGGGTTCTCGTACATTTGGGGTTATTTTCCACCGGAACAGCGACGACGCGGAGCGACTCCGACAGTCCCAGCGCGGGGAGCGATGCCGAGCGCCGTTCCTTGGCCGAAAGGGAGGCCGGCTTCCAAACTCCGCGCACCAACCGCTCTCTTCCAGCACCGCACCCCGCGGTAAGCACCTCCCGGTCCCCCCCCGGAGCCTCCTCCCTGCAGCGGGGAGCCTGGAAGAGGAGGAGGAGGAAGAGGAGAAGGAGGCGGAGGTGGGGGGGGGGGGGGGGGGGGGGCAGCGCACCAAGATGGCGACAACCGCAGTTCCTCCTGCAGCTCCCCCACCTCCGCAGTCCAGCAACGCCTTGCGGGAGACGTGCTAGCGCGGCGGCCGCAGTAAGTGACAGCCCGGGGCGGGGGGAGGTGAGGGGGGGGGGGTTACGGGGTGGGGGTTACGGAGAGCATCGCCTGTATTTTCTTTTATTTATTTCATTTTATTTTTTGTTAATGATCGTGATTTCGTACCTCTCGGTGTCCCACGGCCAGCACGCTCTCTACCTGCCATCCCCCCTCCCCCCAACACACGCACGCATGCTGGGTGGGGGCTTTGCCGCAGAGCGATTTTCCAGCTGCTCCCCCCCCCCGCTTGCTTGTGGGGGGATCCCTCAGGAGGGGGTTCCTGGGGGTCGCCCCCTCCCCGTCCCCCTCCCTCCATCTCCCCCTGTTCGTATGGGGGAAGTGTCCCAGGGGCGGGGGGTTCCCCGCTGCAGCCGTCGCTGTGCCCCCGCCGGTGCCCGTTGGCAGCGGGGGGGACTGCGGGGTGCCCCGATCCCTGCCGTGCCCACCCAGCACGGCGCCCGGAGCTTTCCCCTACCCCAGGACGGCCGCTGCCCCATCCTCTCCCAGCTCTGCCCTATGGGGAGGGGGCACCGCCGCTCCCCTCCCCCTCCCCCCTTCCTCAGCCTCAGTCCCGGCCTTTGGGAGGGGGCGGCCTCAGCTCGGAGCGGTGGGAACCCCCTTATGGCCTCCCTCCTCCATCCCTCGGTTTGGGGCCCTTCTCCCAGGCCCCAAATTCTGGGCCGTGCTCTTTGTCTGCATTGTGGGGAGGGAGAGACTGAGGATAATTGGAGTTGTTCTCAGGATCCCTTCCCCCTCAGCCCTAGCTGCAGAGCTGTACATTCCTCCTCCACCCTCCCTGTTCTCCTCTTGTTCAGCATCCCGAGGCTCCCGCTGCCAGGGGAGGGGTAGAAGTTGGAGGATGGAGTTTTGTGGGGAGATGCATGGGGTGGCTTTGAGGTTTCAGCCTGACCTAAATGTTGGCATTGTGCTTCGTGCTCTTACTTTCTTCCACCATACAGATTTGGGGCAGACTTATTTTTCCTTCCCAGTGAAAGCAAACTGCACATTCTCAAGCGTTTTTCTACGAAAAATCTGGGTGTCTTCTTCCCCTCCCCACCCCCTTCTTTTTCTGGTGCAAATTCTGCCCAGCTGATGTGGGGGTGGGGAAGCTGGAAGGGATGTTCCATGGCTGCAGATGATCTGAGGTGAAGCCTAAAAGTCTGATGGAAGGGGAGTGTGTGCCGGGGGAGACACAGTGGGGCTGTAAGGGGCCAGGGCTTAATTTTGGAGAGAGATCCCAGCTGTGGTAGATTAACCCACTGCTTGCTTTCTGTGAGTGCTGTGTTGCAGGTGATTGGCATGTGATCGTTTAGGAGTTTCACAAGTGGGGTCTCATTAAGGGGTGCTGGTTGTATTTCTGCTGTGTGTTGGTGTGTAATCTGGTCTTTGTAACACTGCAGCATTCCACCCCCAACGGGAACCCATGACCTGTATGTCCTCATTTCACACTGGGAAGGATTAAATTAGTAGGAACGAGGGTGTTCTAGGAGCCTGATTGCCCCCTCCTACTTGTATCTTTAGCAACAAAAAGGGAGGAAGCGTTCCATCAATTGTTTTCTTGCTGTTGCTGGCTGACAGTCCGTTTCAGTACTGCTTTGGAGGGAGGGAGACTGCCAGTATCCTTGCGTAGGACTGCTTATTTATCCGTGCCACATGACGGATGCTCGTCTGAAAAGAGATCGAGATCCAGGAGAGGCGATGTGCAGGACGGCGCCCGCCGGGGTCCGCTGTCCCGTCCCGTCGTGGTGCTGAACGGACAGCTCCCGGCGATGGGCTCGGCTCCCGGCGATGGGCTCGGCTACGGGCGCGGCTCCCGGCCCGACGTCCGGCGCGGTGGGGCAGTGCCGGGGGGAACGACCGCTGGCTGTCGCGGGGGTACTTATGTAAAGTTCCTGAGGCTGCTAAGGGTGTGCAAACGTCCTCCGTGCAAACGAGAGCAGTGAATGACACGGAGCTGTGTCAGGGGAGGGTCCAAATGGATGTTTGAAAAGGTTCTTTGCCAGAGGGTGGTGGGCATGGCCCCAAGCTGCCAGAGCTCAAGGAGAGTTTGGACTGCGCCCTCAAACATTGGGCTTAGATTTTTGAGTGGTCCTGCATGGAGCCAGGGGTTAGACTTGATGATCCCTGTGGGTCCCTTCCAACTTGGGGCATACTGTGGTTCCATGATAGTGTATTTTAGAGTAATAGACAAGCTGCTAGCACTCACTGGAGCACTTTGTAAAGGCAGTTATCCATACAAGCAAAGTGTGAGGCCTGTCAGAGCTCAGCTAGGTGTGGTTTCCACCAGCTGTGTGTTTAGATAGTCCACGTACTTAGCTTGTGTGATGTTTAAATAAAATGATTGGCAATGTGACTGAAGGGCTACTTGATCCTTTCTTCCATTACAACGCTTCTACAGTGTCATTCATGCTGAGTGCTAGGGCCTGCATCTGTTACAAATAATTTAACTGGTTATATAAGCTCATATGTATGGCTTATATCCAGATCACGGTACAAATAATGTAACTTTCTCCAGTGAGCAATACTAATTTTGTGACTGTTTTGTGAACAAAGTTGTAACGCTAGGTTTATAATAAACAAAAGAAGAAAGAGTGATTGCATGTTGCAAGAAATTGAGCATGAGCATGTTTTCTTATGTGCAGTTAAAAGGAGATGAAATAAAATAGAAACAACGTCAGTATTAAATGAAAGTGAAGTAGCTCAACTATCTGAAATATGGTATCACCTTTCCTCTGTTGGTTATTATGTCAGTATTCACTTGTGGGTTTGTTTGGTTTGGTTAGCGTGCATTTACATTAAAATGAACAGATATGGCCTAATATATTTGTTGATTCTGAATATTTTTCAATGACTCGAGAAGCAGTTGGCTCCAGCAGCCATATGTGACTCCTGGGGCATGCAGTGTTCATGTGGTCACAGGATTTCCATTCACTATTGATCGCCTTCCAACTGAAGCAGCTGCAGCTGTCATTGAAATAAACAAATACACAGAGATCGATAATTCATCGTTGTGCTTGGAGAAATGGTTTGGATTAAAGATGATGTGGTAAAATAACAGAACAGAAGTTTCAGCATTGAGAACAAGCAGTAAGAAACCACAGAGAGGAAATTGCATGGCGTGGCTCACGTTGCTGGTAGTGCTGCGGAGAGCTCGTCCTCGTTTGGTGACTGGTTTGCACCCCGTGTGGTTGAGTGACTAAATGATCTGTTTCATCTCTTGCTTGGACTGTGCTGGTGATCTCGGTCCAGCTGATCATAGAAAGATGAATGTGCTGCAGAAAAAAAAATAATCTGCTAGTTGTCTTTGATGGCAGTTGCACCAAAGAATGGTCAGAAAGTCCATTCCTTGGGCTCTCCACTTACGCCCTGTTATTGTCATTCAGTGCAGAGTGGACAGTCACAGCTTTAGCGATTTAAGTGCAGCTTATGTGATGCGTGGGCCCTTCAGTGTGAGAGAAATTCACCTGGATGGGAAATGCTGTAGAGCCGTAAGGCTGAGCAGCACACGCGCTGTGCCAATGACGTTCTGGCCGTAGCAGGAGGTGAACTTTGTATTGTCTTCCTAGCGGGATGGCCGTGTTATCAGAGCCAGGGACAGCTGATGACTGTAGCAGGTGATAATAAGGAAAGGTGAAGACATAAGGAACTGCCAGGCCTGCATGGGTTGTATTCCAGAACGCCGTAGAAATTTTGTGATCTACGTTGTGTCAGGGCAGAGGACTGGACAAGGGTTTGTTTATTCTCCTTCCTTCCGTGTTTGCCCATGTTTGTACTATTTTTAATTGTACTCTTTGAGCTCCCCGCAGCCTTAAATGGATTCCTCCAAAATTGTTGTAAAAAACAAGTTGACTTTCTGCTGTTTTGTGGGTCACTTATAGGCTGGATGGATTGTGAGAGGAATCAGATTTTGCTCTTCCGAGCAGCTGAGTCTTCACAATTACACAATGGCTATTTTGAACAATTCTCTCTTCAGATGTTGGGCTTTGGAAAGGGGAAGCCAAAGTGCTGTGTGTGAGCTGGCGTAGCTTGCCCTGATCCCCAGATTCCTCAGTGAGGTTGGTGATAAATGCAAGTCAGCTTTGAGTAACGTCTAACAGAGGGAACTGGTTCTGCTATTTTTAGTTCTTGTAACTCACTAGGAGACAATAAAGAAGTCATAACCCTCCTGATAGGCACCGAAAAACCCGCAGTACTAGATCTATTTTTTCAGTAGTGCTTCTTTAAATGCTAGGACCGGCATTTTTTTCAGACATTTTTTTTCTGTAGCGTTTGGTGCTGCTGCACTTCTCTCCCCTCCCTCTGTTTCCGTTCCTTTTTGACCTTTAGATGTGTGCATTCAGCTTCAGTTCAGTCGCTCTTCCAAGAGCATCACCTCTCTCCTGCCCTGTCTGGAGTCCACCCTCGAGCACAGCTTAGAATCAAGCACATGGGAAACCCCTGCAACGTTCGACATAGGGTGGGGAGAGCCACCAGCAGCACGGTGATAAATACTGCTTGATAGTGAAAGCATTCCTTTTTTCCTTCCACCTTACAGCATCGAGCATCACATGATGCCTTTCCAAGGGAGAGGCTTCCTCCCGCATCGCAGCCGGTTGTGCTGCCTTTCATTGATAAAATTGGCCTGCTCCAGGCTCTCGGAATCCACTGCAGATGGAAGAGATCTGCGAGTCCCTTGGAAGGCTGTTTGCAGCCATGTGTTTTTCTCATGCATGCATGGTTTGGTTCGGGGTTTTTTAGGCCCTCGTGCAGAAGAATTTCAGAGGGCTTTGCATCAGCACGGTGCTTTCCTTTCTGCCCCAGCACTGCGTGTTCAGTTCCAATCCACGTGCGTCTATGTGGGTTACATAAAACCTCCTGTGGAAGGACTTGCTCTCCGGGGGGATGGAAGTCGGACTGCAAATGACTGAATCTTGCAAATTAATAAGTGAAGAAATGTATTAAAGCGAAGATACTGCCTCAAAAGTGTTTTTTTAATTTCTTTTGACAATTAGCTTGAATAATTTATTAGAGTATTTCATAATGTACCAGTAAACGGACTGCTGGGAACATTTATAAAAAATAATTGTCTTCGTAATTGGGCACCACAGTGCAGCATTTTCTTTGCTGGTGTAAAATCTTTGGTCTACAAAGCACGTGCTGTTCTGAGCACTGAGCTCCAGGTGCACGGGGTGAATTTTGGGATGTGCAGTGATGTGATTCCGTTCCCAAAGCAGTCACCCAGCACTCAGTGCAGCACTCATCTCTGTGTCACACAGTTTCCCATGGGTTGGGTGTTCCAAGTGCTTCTCCTGTTGGACGTTGAAGAATCGATGGGAAGAATGTGTTTTGCCAAAAGAAACTCTGCTGAGCTGGTGGCACGGCTGTGTACTTTGAGTATATGATGGTGAGCGTGGAAAATGTGGTGGGAATGTGTAGCTAGAGGCATTTCAATTTATTGATCCGTGTGATTTTTGTAACAACATCGAGTCCCTGAAGGATCCTGGTGGTTCTGTCGCTGTGCGCTGAGTAAAGGCGAGAATCAGGTGTTGGCTATGGGAGCTGCAAAGCTTGACTCGTCATTGTGAGGATACAAAACATGATGCCATCAACTCTGAAAATGGGTATTTGGGTCTGATTTAAGGAGCTGAATGAGCGTTCCATTCCCATCCTTTCAGTTTACATCCCAGTTTTGTCCGTTCTCTTAGCATGGGGTGATTTCCCTGGGAAACAAATGAAATTGGGGTAGGTAGAACTTCCCAAGGAATGGGAATGCTGAGCTGCTGGTGTGTAGTGATATCGAGGAACGAGTCCCAACAACAAAGCAACAAAGGCAACCACAGCAGAAGAGACTGCAGCCACCCAGAATGAGCACAAATAGCACAAAGCGAACTTGTAGCTGAGTTTATCTGAATAACATCAGAGTGTCTCGTGATTTATTAATGGGCAGAACCCCTTCCAAGGACGGGAAGTATTTGCAGCAGTCCCCTGGGGATGGGGAGAGTTGTGGTGTTTTTGGCCAAGATGTGAAGCAGCGTCGGATCTGAGAGACTTTGGGGTTTGCCTTACGGGAAGGAGAATTTTCCGTGTCAAATATTGAGGAACTTGAGGAGTGAGAGACTTTTACTGTCACTCTCATCTTATAGGAAGAGTCTGCTTTGGTATACCAGTTTTTTTGTTGTTGTTGTTTTTAACTTTAAATGACCACTTATCGTATTATCATATTATTTTCTTGCTTCCATTCACTGGTTGTGTCATTGCACATACAAATCAGGCATTCATTTGTGCCTTTTTTTTTTTTCTTCCCAATTTTTTATGCTCCTGTGTCCCTGAGCTACTTTGGTTTCTAAATTCAGGCCTTGCATATTTATCTGTGCCATTCAATTAGACCACATCCCCAATGCTGCTGTATAGTTTCACAGTATGTGGGAAATTTGGTAATTAAATGCATGCAAATGCTGCGAGAATAGAATAAATTAATTTTTTTCCTTAAAATCAGTGGGATATTTTGTGATGCTTCTAGCGATAACACAACCAAGATGCTGGCATTTCTTCCTTCTTCTTGCCTTGCTTTTATTGCATTTACTCCAGAAATATCTGGTCAGATTTAAATGAAAAGAATCCCAGCCCCAGCTGCACTCTGTGCTTCCATGAGGAGTAAGATCTGCACTTCAGGTTTTTGGATTTACAAATAAACTCCAGTTGGAAACGCTGCTTGTCGAAATTCTGCACGTGTGGGGCAGCTTTAGATTGGCATGCAGCGTACAGAAAATGTGCAAATGGGGTTGTCATGGCTGGAGTGAAGCTGCTGCAAGGAATAACCTGCAATCACGTGCAAGGACCCTTTGCAGTAGTGGTTCTAGTGACTGGGAATACCCCAGGTACTTTACTAAAGGTTGGATGGGATCTCCTGGTGTTTTACCAAAGAGAACTTTAATATTTCAAAGCTGTGTTTATTTGTGAAGTCTGTTGAGGTTCCGAGCAAGCTGTGATTCTCAGTTTTGGGGTATGTTTGCCCATTGCTGAGGCTGAGCAATGTGTCCCAGCCCATCCACAGGGACAGGAGCATGGCTCCATGTTAGTGCTCTCTGCATTCCCCCTTTAATTCAGAATGCTCTGTCAAACCAAGGCGTGAAGAGGCCACTGGTGGCCAACTTTGTGCTGAAATAGCTGAATTTTAATGGTTCGGTTCTGTAGTGCAGTTTTCGTGGAATTTGAAAGTCATTTTTCTATCAGAGGTGCAGGAGCTTTGATGCATGTTTTGATGCAATGTGTTTGTTAGAATAAAAGGCCGTGTTACTGGTGGTCTTTTCTCCTTTGTTAGGGGCCCTAATCCCACGCAGTGTTTGGGCTTTTCCTGTGCCATGTGCTGGTGTTTCATTGCTGCTCCACGGCCCCTGGCTGCTTTGCATGTGGGTTCCTCCCCGAAGGCAGCAGCCCGGTGTTCCTGCAGCACTGCAGTGTGTTGCATCAGTGCAGGCTCTCAGTGATTCCTCGGCTCTCGTGGCCTCTTCCTGTTGTGTGAAGAGCCCGAAGTGGGAGCGCTGTCAGAATTGCAATGTGTTCTCCTTGCTGGGTCTCCAGCAAAACCTTGGCAAAAGGTGCAGAGCTGCAGAGGGTTTGTAGGCGAGCTGGATTCAGATGAACGTCCCAGCAGCTTTTCTCTCTTGCAGGAGGAGAAAGCAAGGTGCTCTCTGTAGTGACAGTGTGAAGCCCTGTGCAATGTCTGTGCTGTTTTACAGGCTGGAAGCTCTGTGAGCCCATCCTCAGCTGCTGCCTTCCCTTCTCTCTGTGCTCTGTGCCATGGAGAAGAACTCATTCGTGTTGCATCTGAAAGAGGACTCTGTATTTAACCCACATACTATGGAAGTTTAGTTTTCAGCAATTAATATTGTACTTGACGAAAGCCTTTAAGTTTATTTCATTCTTAGGCCTGAAATTCAGAGAAAACCTGATAAGTTATATGCAAATAGATATGTAAAATAGATTTTCTATATGAGCGCTGCCCAAGGTCCTGAAACTTAATAACGAGAGCTCCCTGGCTCATCTTTCCCAATAACTTCAGGAAAGAAATCTTTCCTAATCTGTAATAACGTGGGATGGAGCAGGAGGGACCATTTTTGTCAAAGCCATGGAGTTGTAGTTTTGCTTGAAAGAGCCTCAGTTCTGTGCCTGTTGGCTGCTGGGCTCTCAGAGAAGCCTGACCCCAAGGTGTTCCTCTTGGTGTGCTGGGAGGAGTGCTTTGCTGAAGGCCTTGTTAGCAGGAAGGTGGTAACGCCTGGCCCCTTGCAATGTGATGGAGCACCTCATCCTGACCCTGGAACAGAGCCGAGCTGGATTTTGTGTCTAATAATCCGTTGGCTAGTAATGAGTAGAGAGCAATGGTCCCAGCTCTGAGAGCACCCTGTAGGTTGCATGGGTGTGGAAACCCAGCGGTGCTTGCTGAGCACCTGCAGACCTTTGGGTCCTTGCTGTTTGTCATCCTGTTTTTTGCCACTGCTGACTGTTCTGCCTGTGCTCTTTGTCCCATGCAGAGCTGACCTGTCCGGGCTGCAACATCACTAAAGAAGCTGCTGCAGGATGAAAAGATGGCAGCACGGCTGCTCGCACCACCAGGCCCTGATAGTTTTAAACCTTTCACTCCGGAGTCTCTGGCTAACATTGAGAAACGCATTGCAGAAGAAAAAAAGAAGAAGCGTCCAAAGCAAGACAGCAGCCATCGTGACGACGATGAAGACAGCAAACCAAAACCAAACAGTGACCTTGAGGCGGGGAAGAATTTGCCTTTCATCTATGGGGACATCCCTAAAGGCCTGGTTGCTGTACCACTGGAGGACTTTGACCCTTATTATATGACCCAGAAAGTGAGTCTGCAAGAAAGAAGTCACTAAACTGCCTCTCTCGTAGGAGGTTGCAGGTTTGGGTATGGTTTAAATAGAAGACAAAGAACGGAGTCTTTGGATGGGGCTGTTTTGTTATTGTTATCTGTCATTTTCTTTTCTTGAATGTTAACAGTATTTCTCTTGTGCTTCATGCACCTTTGGAGCACTCACTGCGTCCAGCTAAAATAGAGATGATCAGTCTGTAAGCACCTGCTTGGATAGAAACAGCAGAACAAGGTCTGGAAACTAAAAATAGACAAAGTTGTGCTAATGTGCCAGTTTTAACCAAGAGGGCAATGAGAAGAATATAACTGAGGGGGAATGGTAAACGTTGCAAGTGCAGAAATCGTTTTGAAGTTGATCGTAACAAAACTGTGGTATATCAAATTGTGACCAAAAAAGAAAAAAAAAGTGAGATAACTTGTTTAAATTGCTTTCATTCTCAGATTTAAAAAAAATTTTTTTAAATTGTCTGTGGAATTAAGGTGATGTGGCAGGAGATATTTGATGGTGCTGAAATATGTTAAGAAATGAAGTGGTGTCATTGAGGGAAGTGGTGAGTAAGCAAATGCTGTTGGAAACAGAGGGGGGAATTTCCTGGTGAAGGAAGAGTGAAGGTTGGGTGACTTAAAATTGAGCTGCTTCTCTGCTCTTTGATTGCATTACTTTCTTTGATAGAGATTTAGTTTGAATAAACTGAGATAATATTGAGAAAGAAAGGTGGTGTGCATGACAACTGTACATGAGACAGCTTTGTGGTCGTGCAAAACTTGGATAATGTGGCTGTCATAAAATCAGTAAGTTGGCGAGGGTAGCAAAATATGTCATGACTTTGTGTTGGAGCAGACACTTCTTGCCATGCTCGGAGGTGATCCTGCAGCTCACAGGGCAACGTTCACATGAAGTCAACTGAATTTGGCCGCTGACGTTTAGAATAATTAATTCTCCTCTAGGTTTGCACTTCAGTGCTCATTTGTTTTGTTAGCGGTGCTAAGAGAACAGGTACCAAAGTAGGATGGTTTGTGTAAGTTGAAAATGAATTATATTGGTGTTTAGATGGATGTGTGACTTGAGGAGATGTATTGACAACTGGTGTTGTTGGTAGGAAGGAAGCTTATGCTATCCCTCAGAAATATTTTCTCTTTATTAAGCAAATATTTTCTCATTATTAAACAAATCTGTTGTTGCCTGGCTTTGGTGTGGGCAGGCTGTGAAACACACGGAGCTGAGAGTGGTTCCCAGGATCTCTGGCTGTGACTGGCCACTTGCACCCCGCCACGTTGGGAACTGGGAAATGTCACCACAAATCCAACAAGGAATGGTTTGTAGATGTGCGTTGGAGGATCAGGCAGTATTCCTTCTAGCTAGAACAGGAAAGCATTGCTCAGTGGGTAGTAAGTAATGCCTGGAGCATTGGGCAAAGGCTTGGTTGTCTTTGGTTCCACCAGAAATAGGAGATGGGTTGAGCACCGTTGGCCCACATGCTTTCTTGGTCATCAGATTTGCCTCCAAACACAGTGCTCTTGATAAATCTCTCAGTTTTAGGAAAACTAAGGCACATTCCCAATTCCAGAGACATCTGCCGTGCCTCCAGAAGAACCGTGCCTTTCTGCATGGAGATGCTCACAAGGTTTCTGCTCGCCGCGGAGCCGCTGCAGATGGAGGGAAGGTTCTGGAGGATGGAGCAAACCCACCTCCTCCTTGCTGCTCTGCAAAAAAGAGCCTCGCTCGCCCCGCAAACTCCAGATTAACATTTTGCTGGCTTTCTTTCTTTTGCATCCGCTTCAGGATGGCAAGAATTTAGGTGTGTGTTCCTTCTTTGCTGCTTCAAATAGTCGGTGACTTCCCACAAGGAATTTTTTAGGGCCATTAAAAAAGGCCCTTCTCTGAATCATCAGGAATTGTGAATCTGCCTGAATCATGGGAAGTTTTCCAAGAGATTTTTTTTTTTTTCTCCTCTCTAGCATTTGCCAGAAAGGTTTGCATCATAGGTCTTTTCTTTTAAAGCAAGATGTACAGCATGCATAGGAACAAATCAGCTGGTTGTTTTTCCTTGCAGTAGGACACGGTGATCTTGGTTTAGCTAAAGAAAAGGCAAAGCTGCATTTTAACTGGCAAGCTGAACTTCCCAGTGTTTTTGTCTGAGCTGCTTTGTTTTCCTCTACTCAGTTTCTTCACTTTGCAAAGTGGGAGCAATGACTCCTGGTAGGATCAGGAAAATCCATTTGCTTCCAGATACCCATTTATGGAGCTAAGGTAGCTCCTCTTTGTCTTTATGTAACTGCCGGAGAAAAATTCTTCCATGGGCCTTTGTTTTGCCAAATAATAATCACCTTCCAATTCCTGGTGTGAAGCACATGGTAGAAGCACGACTTGCCCATGATATCTGGTGTGGACATTTGGAAAAATTTCATTTAAAAAGCAAAAACTCACACATGAACTTCCTTGTTTAAATGTACAAACGAAATTCAGAGAACACACCAATGTGAGCATCCATGGCAATGAAAGCAAACCAGCTGATTGCCATGAGGCGCCGAGGTGGAGTTTGTGCATTTTCCTATTGCCAGCTCAGTTCAAACACCTTCTGCCCCAGCAAGTCTTGGCGTTTCTTGTGAGGGGTTTGGGTGCCCTTGGATGGAAGATATTTGTAAAAGTATCTGTGATCTCCTGCAGTGGGAAGAAGAACTTGTCACTTAATTGCATCGTCTTTCTTGTGCTCTTGAGCCCCTGGGCAGAATGGGGAGAAATGGGAGATTCCCCAGTTCAGTGTGTACCAGAGAGCTGAGCATTCTTCAGTGCTTGCTTGTGCAAGAGTTAAGGGTCGCCGTCCTCTTTTATTTCTGCAAACTTATTTCTCATTTTTTATCTTTTCCCATTTTTTTTAGGCCTCTCTTTCTTTCTCTTCAATTTACAGCTTGGCTGTCATTCCTTCCAAACAATTTCCTGCCTTTTCCTTTCCACAGAGTGTGGCTTTGGCCAGTCTGTGGCCTCTCTCCTTCAGTATCTTCCATCCATTTTGCTTGGTGAATCTCTTTCCTGCTTGCTGCAGAGCAAGGTGAAGGGTTCAGATGCTTCTGCGGTTGTTCCATTTAGGAGGCAGCGGAAGGTCCCTACATATTCAGCAAGTGATTGGGTTGGTTTCAGTGGAAAAATCAACCTTGGATTTGTAGAAAACTGTTTTCCCACTAGTGGGATTGTCAGAGGTCACCTATATCTTGCAGATGGACACCTGAGGATCCTGCTCACGGGTACGTGCCAATGGAGTGACTTGCAACTTCATCAAGTCACATGCATCGTTTGGAAACAGGCCCTCCAGCCCAGAATGTCACCTTGAGGGTGTGGAACTGGGAAAATTACAGGGATGTGAGCAGGCAGCATGGAAGAGGCATTTGTGTCGCGCGTGCTTCAAGAGCCTCCGCTTAGGACTTCTCTATGGCCCTATGAAGGGATGCTGTTACTGAGCTTCATGAGCATCTCCAGGAAGGAACAGAGGGAAGAAGGAAAAGGTTGGGGCCATCTCAAAAATCAGGCTTTTAATTTCGTTTCCAAAAGCCTTTTCCAGGACTTGGTGCCTAGCGGTGTTTTGCTCCACTCCATCTCTCCAGCAGCCTTAAAAGGAGCAGGAATGGGAGGTGAGAGAATCTCAGCTGCGATGGGTGGAAGGCAGCAGCATCCCTTCTGCTTCTGAGATGGAATGAGTTTTATTATGTAGACAGACTGTGGTGCTCTTAAATTTCAATATCTCTAGACATTACGTGTTGAGCGCTGCTTATTTTCTTAAATGCATCTTTTTGGAAATGTTTTATTTGATGAATTTCAAAAAGATGTCATGTATTTTTCCAATATGGGGCTTCAAACAAGAGGTCAAAATGAGCAGAACGTGGCAGACAATTCTTATTCCCTATTTCTATAAATAATTTTTCCTCCTTTTTGTAGGGATGGAAAAATGTTTTCTGTATCAGAAAGTACAACTTGATGAGCCAAAAGCAGGCTTAAATATGAATGTGAAATATTATTCAATTCTTTGTGTATATGTACGTATATATATAATATTCTTCCAACATTCAGGGCGCTGGAGTTCCCTGTAAATCCATCCTGGAAATAGTTGTGTTAGAGGAACTTGCTCAGATTGCTTTCAGAACGTCTCTGCTCTCTTCTGCTTCGCGTTGGGAGTAAGGCATCATCATGTTACCACTGCAGGAATGTGGTTCCATATGTTCATGTGCTGTTCATAAAGCTGTTTTCTTCTTCAGCCTTCTGCCCACTCCTCCTCACTTTTCAGCCATTACAGAAGTGCTTAATGTAAAACCAGCATGAAGCAGGATTAGTCTAACTCTTTGTATATCTGGAGTTCTTTTTGCCATCACTCGATCACTTCCATCACACTCTCCAGCATAGCTTCTTTCATGCACTATTTTGCAAATAATTTTAGAGACAACTTGACTTTTGTGAGATTACTTCTCTGATACAAGAAATGTTTTCAGCTTTTTAGAACGAATGTTAAGAAAACCAATGTGTCCAACCAGTGGGATGTCCAACCAATTGCATTTATAACCATTGTGTCCAACCAGCTGGATGTCCAACTAATGGGATTTCCAGCCAATGTTAAGAAAGCTGAGTTGGGCAGAATCTTTTTACAACTCTTTAACATCAAACAGAGACTTTTGGAAGTTCAGCCAGGCTTTGTCTCTTAAAAGAAGACTGCAAAATGCCTTTTTCCAGGTATCGCCTTTCTCTTGAGTTTTATGCTTTGCCTCAGCAGATCTTAAAAGAGCTTAAGGATGTTCTTGGACCCAAACCAGAGAATGTTTTAAGAGCATGCAGCCATTTTGAAATTGACTTTTAATATGTCAGCAGCATACAGAAGAACAAAGACAAGATTTTAAATTGCCAAATGCGTTTTGGCTTTTGTGCCCATCGTTCTATTTAGAAGGCCAAGTGGAGATTTACCCAGGATTTTATAAGATACACCTGGGAGATCTTGGAAGCACCGGAATCGATGAGCAGACTGGAATGCACCAGGCTACTGAAAGGCCCAGTTTTGATGAGTTCTATAAGCAGTAAGTCCATTACAGCGTAAAGAGAGAAATTTGGCCAGAGCACGGAAGAGAAAACACAGAAGGGCCTCATGGAAGGTCATGCAACAGGAGGTGGACCAAGCTGGCAAGCAGAATGCGGAGTTCATGTGTGGTGGGCGCTCGCTGATCCCTGGACAGCTTGTGTTACCAACAGGGTGTGCCAAATTTCTGGCTCGTTCCTCGTGAAATGGCTTTTGCAAACGTGTGTGACCCTCAGCACGGAGCTGCTTGCGTCTGCTTCCCGTTGAGCCTGGCTTGCTCTTCTAGCTCAGCGCTGAGCCTTGGCAGGGCTCGCATCCGCGGTGCAGCATGCGTCGGTCTCCAGGTGAGGAGTGGATTTGCTTTGGGCTTGCAGGTCCACTGCACACCGATTCCCCCACGTAGAACGGAGGCAGAATGGAAGTCGCCCATCTCACACGACCGTTGCACGGTAGATTTTCGGGATTTTCTGTCTTTGCCCACAGGATTTTCGGCACGGTCACACTGGAGATTTCGTTCCTTTAAAAGCTAGCAGTGTTGGGAGCTACTGCTGTGCTAGGGCTACAAGTGGAGCCTGCGAGCGTGTGGTGGACATCCCCTCTGAATCTGGGGATGAGAGGAGATTTAAGGTTAAGCGTTGGGTGAGCCGTGATGAGTTTGCTGAGCTGGGGAAGGAGAGAGAGCTGGGTCTTAAAACTCAGATGCCCTTGAGCACCCTGTAATCAGCAGCTTTGAAAAGCTACTGGCCTTTTATAATATTCTTACGTGTCAAGGTAATCTGTTCATTAATTCTTCATGCTGCAATTTAAGAGCTCTCCAAAGTTGTCTTTAAAGAGCTCTTTGTTGGGAGATGCATTAGCGGCTGTGCTAACTAATACTTCTCACTTAGCATTGAACCACAATCTGATTTTCATTTCCTTCCCAAATAATTCACTGCTCAATGGCCTAATTTACCCAAATGAGCTGAAACATGTTGTTTCCCTTACGAGGAGGGAGATAACAAACCTCTGAAGATCGATGCTCCTGGGGGAGCGCAACGGCTGTGTGGGCAGAGAGCCCCCACGGGTTCCCCTCTGCAGGGCATTGGGAGCCCAGATTCACTAATTTTCACTAATGGTCACTAATTAACAGCAGTAAGAGCACGTGGCGACGACTGGGGCTTGTGCTCTCCTGGCAGGTAAGGTTTGATAGTGGTTAGCAAGGTGTGGGAAGGAGGCACAACCCCAGCTGCTGCCCCACAAGGATGGGCTCATGCACGGGGCTGTGGCTTGAGAGCTGGGTTCAGCTGCTGCTTCTGCAGTGAAATTTGTGATCCTTGGGTGCCTTGGACCTTGGTTGTTATGTATTGGATAGGGATAGTTCTTCTGCCCTGTGGGATGGAGGTACGTGCTCCTGGATGGGAGATGTTGCTTCTGCTGTCTGCAGTGTCCAGCAGAACGGATGGCTTGGAGTAGAATTATTCATGATGTGCTGGTGGGTTTGTTTCACCCTAGTGGGAACTTCTTACAGGGGATTATCATTTAAGAACGCAGAAAACGCAGGATTTTCTTTACCATAAAAGTTGTTGGTCTTTTCTTTGTGCTGTTCATGCTTTGATTTTCATGCATTAACTCTTTCTCTCTCTCTTTTTCCTTCTTTCTTCCTTTCTTTCTTTCTCTCTCTACAGACCTTTGTAGTACTAAACAGAGGGAAAACACTCTTCCGATTTAGTGCCACACCTGCCTTGTACATTTTAAGTCCTTTTAATCTGTTTAGAAGAATAGCTATTAAAATTTTGATACATTCATATCCTTTTTACTACTGAGGTATTTTTGCCTTTATTGGTTAAAAGATCTTTTGCCTATTGTCTTATTGCTCAATTCAATCATTATTTATTAACTACACTTCTAGTGGAGTTGGGTTTGTTATGAATGAGGAAGCACGGCCCTTTAGTCAAATCCAATCAAGGAAATGTTTAATTTATGCGTTCCTTGCTAAATTGTGCCTTTCTGTGTCCACTCCATCATCAATACATGGATATTGCTACATTGGGCATGGTGGCCATGGGTTGACTGTTGGAGTGGATGATCCTAAGAGGTCTTTTCTGACGTTGGTGACTCTACCAATGGTGGAGTGGGCATTCTGGGGGTGGGTTGGGGTTGGACTTTATCTTGGAGCTCTTTTCCAACCTTAATGACTCTATGATGCTAAGCATTGGAACAGACAGCTGTGAGATTGCGCTCTGCATGAAGAGCAGTTGAGCTTTAACTAGCTGCTGGAATGGTTAAATAGAATTAATATTCGGAGAAGGAGCCAAAGGCACTTTACATGCAATTAGATACCAACTAATTTCCTGCTCCTTTGACAACTCTTAAACCTCCTTCTAAAGGGAAAGCTCGTCCAAAATATTCTGCTGCTGGGCTCCAACTGCTCTGAAACATCACCTGCATGTGCTAATAGGAGAGGAGGCACAGAGCAGCATTGGATGGGATGCACTGCCCTGTTTGGTGGTTTATTTTCAGAAGGTGACAGTAAAACACATCTGTGAAAGCACCTTCATTAGTTGCTTTAGTTTCTCCTTACTGGACTCATGCACCTCAAGAAGAAAAGGGATTTCCATATCCTATTGCTTCCATCTCCACTAGGGAGCTGAGGCTGGGAATGGCATTTTGGGTTCTGTGCTACTCAGGACATTCCTCCAATCTGGAGGAATGCATCAGCAGACTGCAGTTTTTGATGACACTGAACACACAGAATTACTTGGGAATACGTTTTTATTAAGGCATGTGATCTTTGCATTGCTGAGGCATACCAGAAAGCAGAAAACAAAGAGACACAAAAGCACTATTTGTATACATTCCCCCATTCTTATCTCCCATGACTGCAGGAAGCAGTCTTGGCTGGTTTGTGTAGCACACAGAGAATAGAATGGAAATGGTTGTTGGGCTGTATTGTTGTGCAGAGGTCTTTGGGAGCTGGGAGCTGATGTGAAGAGCCACCCCAGTGTGCCTTTGATCCTTGACTTCGTTCCACAGTATTTAGCATGATCATTATGTGCACTATTTTGACCAACTGTGTATTCATGACTTTTAGTAACCCACCTGAATGGTCGAAGAATGTGGAGTAAGTAATATTTCTTCTATTCTTATACAGAATGTTGCTTTTCTTCTCTTCAGAAACCCGTTCTTGCTTGTATTTCAGTTGGCTTGAATGCAAGTTGCCTTTGAATCCGCTTTGTTTAGACAGAAGTGTTTGTAATTCACCTGTTAGCATGCCTAGCATTACATGCCTGCAAACTTTTCAGCACAGCTCTCTTTGTTCCTTTTAACAGGTATACATTCACTGGTATTTATACATTTGAATCACTTGTGAAAATTATTGCAAGAGGTTTCTGTATAGATGGCTTTACTTTCCTACGAGACCCATGGAACTGGCTAGATTTCAGTGTGATCATGATGGCGTAAGTGGCATTTTCAGATTATTTCAGCTGTTTGTGGCACGTGGGAGGGAATGAGACCTCAGGAGGAGGGTGGGTGTGTATGAAAAAGAACAAATAGAGGGAAGCTGAAGTGAGCCCTTAGATTGTTATTTTTTTCAATAGAAAGCCTGAGACAGAGGCATAGATCCCAATTGCAACTCCATGGATGTAGCAGCAACGCTGCTGTAAAAAATTATTTTAAAAAAAGCAATTTTCTAAAAATTGCCTTTGTTAGTATAAGATTTTACAATAGTATCTAGCATCTAGATGAGCTCATGTGCCAGAGCAGCAGCATGTTCTGTTGGGTGTAGGATTAAGAGCCAAGCATCTTTACGTTCTGGTCTCTACCACCCCTTCCCCTTTGGGCTTGCATGCTGGAATTGTTGCAGGTTGAGCAATTTCTGATGAAGATGCGGTGTCAGGAAAAGGAGACGCCTTTTTTTCCCTTCCTCTTCCTCTTCTCTTGTGCTGGATCAGCTTCCATTGGGCTCACAGAGAGGAGTTCACGTGGATGCCTGAACTCACAGCTGGACCTGGGGCTGTGAGCTGGCAGTCGTTGGTGGAAGATAGATATATTTTTTCCCTTTTCTACGTTTTGAAGTATTAAGCATGTGCACGTTTGGGCTCCCATAGTCAGTGGTGGCCAATGAAGACTGGAGGACCGTGCAGAAGTCGCAGGAGCCCAGTTCTCAAGGGATGGGAGCAGTTGAGTTTGATCAGAGTGAAATACTTTAATTGTTCGAACTACCTGGCCCTGCTTGGGCTGTATTCCAAGCTCTGAGCCACAGCTTTTCCTGAGCTCTTTGTGCGTTGAGTTGAGTTGCAAAGAGTTGGACATTGCGCGCAAGAGTTGGAGAACCCGTAACTCACTGCCATTTTTGCTTTAAGGTGGGCAGGGATCTGCTGTGTGCAGAGTAAACCTTTGTGAGCCACGCTCCCAGAAGATGAGATTCACTGCTAATTGGTCACTTGCTTTGTTTCTTGATAAATTAACAAGTAACAGTGTGCCAGCTTTAAAAGGCCCAATGCACGGATATTAAATCTGCCCAAACTGGAGCTGACCTAACTATGGAATAACCCTAGCTAGGGCCCTACTCTAGTTGTGTTGCCTTGCTTTAGGAGAGTCTGGTCTTGGAAACCAAAGTAAATAAGATAAAATTCTTGAAATACAATGCTCCTGCAGCAGGAGAAATCTTGAATACAGCCACGTCTTCATGCTTTTTGGTGCCCTCCTCCCCACCAGACAGCACAGCAGAGAGGGATACGATCTGACTCTGTAGCCCTGCACTAAGCCTCTTACCCTCTGTGTGCCTCAGGTTCATCCCTCTGTAAAATGGGGATAACCCCACCTACCTGTGGCTCGCAGGTAAGGCCAAGCGGATTAGAATGGAGCAAGCAAAGCAGAAGGTGGTGATGCTTTGTTGAGACTCAGAGGAAAGCAAAGCAAATATCCCTGAACTCACTGAGCAGAGGTGATGTCACCAAGACTCCTGGCATATTTGGCCGTGGGGCTGCATTTCCCTTCTTCTGTAGGGTTAGCCTCACATTTTCATGTCCCATGTAGTCAAGAATGCAATATCTATCCCTGCAGCTGGCCCAAGAATTCTACATTCCCTTCTTCTGTAGGGTTGGCCTCCCATTTTCATGCCCAGTGTAGTCAGTGCAATGTCCATCCATGCAGTTGGCTCAAGAATTCTACATTCCCTTCTTTTGTAGGGTTGGCCTCCCATTTTCATGCCCTCTGTAGTCAATGCAGTGTTCATCCATGCAGCTGGCCCAAGAATTCTACATTCCCTTCTTCTGTTGGGTTGGCCTCCCATTTTCATGCCCTCTGTAGTCAAGAATTCAATGCCCATCCATGCAGCTGGCCCAATCTGAAGAGTCTTAAACTGAATTTTCCCTTTAGAGTTCTCTCTCTGCTTTTAAACGCGGATTCTGAAGGGTTTTAAATGACGAGCTGTTTCCTACAAACAGCCAGCTGTGTTGCAGGGTGACCCCAACGGTGCCATTAACTCTGGTTTAATTCTGCAGGTATATAACAGAGTTTGTAAACCTAGGCAATGTTTCAGCTCTGCGCACTTTCAGGGTTCTGAGAGCTTTGAAAACTATTTCTGTAATTCCAGGTAAGGCGTCCTGCGGTTGGTGTTAGCTGTTGGGTACAGGGCCCCTGTGAGTGATGTATTGCTCTGTCTGTAGTGGTTGTTTTTTGGTTTTTTTTTTTTGGTTTTTGGTTGTTTTTTTTTGGTTTTTTGTTTTTTCTTTTTTTTTTTGGCGTGTGTATTGTCATTGTGTTTTTTTTGTGTGTGACCTCCCTCATTGCAGATATGTCACAGAGTTTGTGGACCTGGGGAATGTCTCAGCATTGAGAACTTTCAGAGTTCTCCGAGCTTTGAAAACTATCTCTGTAATTCCAGGTGAGAACCGTTAAGCATTAAAGGCTGGTCTTGCTGTATCTCTTTGATATTCCCCCCTCGTCCTGCATTGCTTGTTTCTCAGAAGTGGCACTGGGATATCTTTGATGGGTTTGCAGTCTGTATGGATGGGATGGTTGGAAATTGAGGCTCCTGGGCCATTGGATGAGCAGCCTGCTGTTCCATACGTCTCCGTCCCTGTGTACACGTGTGGCTCTCCAATCTCTGAAATGAAAGCCAGACTGAAAGTAGAGTCCAGAATGAGTCAAGGATGAGTTTGGAATGAGTTGCTGCTCTCTCCTACTCTGGGCTGCCCTGTGGCCCAAAGTGCTGTGTGAGCTTTCATGAAGCCCCAGGTCCTAATTCCCAACGTTGCCCATTTTGCATGGCACCCCCAGAGCAGGGCTGTCCCTTACAGGGATGCTTCTGGACTTTGGGTGCCAAAGAATGAGCGCTGCCCTTTGCTGCAGGAGACCGTGGAGCATCAGGGACTGAGAGTATGATCAGAAGTGAGAAACTCTCCTGTCCCCGTACAGAAAGCAGTTGGGACACGTGCAGAACCTTCTGCAGGTGGTTCCTCAGGAGCATCCCTCATTTTAAGGTCAAGCTTAAGACTGAATGCATTGAAGCAGCTGTGATTTTTTCCAGCTTTTGGGTGCTCGACCTGTCTCACCCTCAGGAACCACTTGATATGTTTTGCTGTTCTATTTCCTCATGTTATTCTCCTGATGCATTAACTGACAATGGATGTTTTCCTTACTCAGGGTATGCTCCCATATACATTTACCAGAAAATGAACTATGGATCTGTAGGGGCCCATCACTTTGTCCCCATTCCAGACTGCTAAACCCATCAGATGTACGTGGCTGTTGTGCATGATGGTCTCAAGTGACACCCGCTTTCCTTGCACTGAATGAGAGAATGCCAGGATAATGTTCTTCCCTCCCTTAATGTCTGGCAGTGCACACACAGAGAGCAAAAGGTACTTTGGTAATTGCTGTGAGCAGTGCACTGGGCAGACCCGGAGTGCAGCTGCGGTTCTATCAGCTGCCACAGGTATTGACTGCATTGCTTGAAGAGAAGCATCATTGTTGGAATAAATTTCGTCTGTATTTTGCTTTTGTCATCGTAGAAAAATGAAGGTGATGCAGCTTTAATGAGCTGGTTGCTGTATGTGCAGCAGCATGCCTTGCCTTTCTATGGAAAGGAGTAGAACAATTTTGTATCATTCCTTCCACGCTGCTCAAAACCAACGGAATTTTCCCATTATTTCAAATGGCAGCAAAGGATGAAGGGATCCAAGCTCTCAGTTCAGTGCAGCCACACTTTTCCTGCACCCAGCTGAGGGCTCCTGGCTGAGCATTGGGTGCTCTGCATTTATCCATGGCCAGGACTCACTGTTTGTTGGCCAAACTTGGGTTGGTTGTGTGGGTTAGGCTCTGGGATAGAGTTGCCCCAGTTGTGGTTCTGCAGCATGGACCCAAAGCACAAACCTTGCTCCTGTTTTGGTTTTATGACTGGCAATGTATGAGGAGTGTGAAGCATTTGTGTAATTAACCTTTCTGGTTACTTAATATGAAATTAGGTTTATCAAGTCCAAGAGCAGAGGTGAATATATTCAACATAAAGGGGTTCCCTTTCTGCTTCACTCTGTAAAGGAAAAGGAGTTTTAACGTTGTGCCTAATGAGGAGGTGATCTTATTGTCATGAGAAGTGCTAATTGTCTTCCATCAGTAATTGGAATCATCCTCGTGGTGTTTTATGGACATGATAAAAGTGGGAAACCCCACCAGGACATTACATGCCACTGGATGAAGTTGAAGCAGGTGGAGGCTCTGTGATGAAATACAGAAATATCAAAACACTGCATTCATGTTGTGGCTCCTTAGACCACATCAACCCATGGTGGTTTATTATTGGCACTTGGGTTATTGCTAATTATTTTTCCAGTGCCATCAGCTGTCAGCCTGACACATCCCACATGAAATCACACCCAAAATGAGGCTCAAAGCCGCAGTGAGAGAGCGCCATGCAAAACAGAATCACAACTGCTGGGGGACGGGGCTGCATGTGCAGGGCAGAGCAGCGGGGCGATGGGACGAGCATGCAAACAATGCTGTAATGGGCATCTGTCTGCCAGAACGAAGAGCAAACAGCCTGCTTGGTGTTTGAGTCGGGCTTTGGCACTGACTTAAAAGTTCTGACGGAAACAAAAGACGTCGTTAAAAAATTATTCCCCCATAAAAAAATCCCTTTTTACGAACTTTAGACTCTTTCTGTTCCTGATATGGATCCAAACCTCTGTTGGTATAGAGAGGTTTCTTGTCCAAGGTTTATTGCAGGATGCTCAGTGTGGCCTCACAGACCCAAACCTTAGCCCTGCACTAATGGATCTGCTTTTTTTTTTAACCCATTTTGTTTTTCTATTTTACTCTACACTCTTATTTCTGAGCTGGGTCCTTATGCAGCCTGTTGATTACCAGGATACTTTGGCCCCTTCACCAAAATTAAGTCTTGAAATAAGACTGAAATGATTTCTTGAACTCGAAAGTACTTCTGCTGATTGAATCCTGAAGTCCTCCAGAAGAATAACGTCTCCTTTAGTGCTAGCATCATTGGTACAAACATGAAAGCACTGGGAGATGGGGGGTAGGGCAGAGGTGTTGGATAGAGTGTGTGCTTTGGGAACGTAAAAATGGGCCAAATTTGGGTAAAGGGAGCACAGTGCAGAAGGCACAACTTTTAAGTAAGTGCCTTTTCATAGAGTGAATTAGGAGGAACTAATTCTGGGTATATGTGATGGGTGTGGGACAAGAAAAAAGACTTTAAAATGGTTCTTAAGCAATGGGCAGTGCTTGACCTGGGGCAGCATCTCCTCTCAGATCTCTGTTCTGCATTTCAGCATTTCCAGCTGACTTTGACTTGAGTTGTTCCTTTTTCATGTATTTTATTGCTGCCCTAATTAGGAGCGTTCCTGAAGCACTTAATGACTTTGTGCACAGAGGCAGTTTGTTAAATACAGCTGCTGAGCTTTGTGCAGTGGGTGGTTGACTTAGGAACTGCCAAGAAATGGGGAAAAGGGGAATTGCTCCTCAAGCTTTGCGTAAGAAATCTGGGAAAAGTTTGTTATTTTCCTCCTTCCTCTCTCCATCCTGCTTCTCCATTCATTTACTGACTCCAGTTGACTTGATGTCAGAAATGTTAATTAATGGGCAGTGTTCCTGCATCCCAAATCCTTGCTTAAATCTGAATGCTGCATTTTACTCCAGTAACACAACCAGAGAGTCATGTATGGTTCCTTTTCCAGACCAGATGGTTTAGAAAACAAATGGGATTTTGTCCTCTTGGCTTTTATCATCGAGCCTTGCTTAATGACCCTGAGAGCTTTGATATCAGAGCCAGCACTGAGTGCAGTCCTGCCCCCAGCTGTAACAAAACCCCTTTGATTTCTGTGTCCAGACAAACCCGACCTCCAGCACAGTGACTCTAGAGCACGATCCTCACCCCATCCAGCAAACCTCAGATACTCTCAGGGCTGATCTCCCTATTTCTTGATCTCGTATTGCTGCTTCACCCCGTAAACTGGTGATCCCACAGCTGGCGTGGGGATGGGTCATCCCTCACACGTATTGAAAATCCTAAATGTAAGGATGCTCTGGAGCAGTGTTGGCTTCCCGAATCCCAACCCCTTGATGGCGGTGTTGTTTTGCCACCCCATAGCCATGAGGAGGTACTGTATATATTTGGGTTTTCAATGACTTCGTGTTCTGCAGGAGTGATTTCCAGTCTTGCTCTCCTCTCCGCAGGCCTGAAGACCATTGTGGGTGCCCTGATCCAGTCGGTGAAGAAGCTGTCGGATGTGATGATCCTGACGGTGTTTTGTCTCAGTGTCTTTGCTCTGATTGGGCTGCAGCTGTTTATGGGCAATCTGAGGAACAAGTGTGTGATATGGCCAATTAACGTGAACGAGACGTTCCTGGATAACGGCTCCCGGGGCTTTGACTGGGAGGAATACACCAACAATATGTGTAGGTATTTCTGCAGCGATGCTCCCTGAAACCTCCTTGTTTCACTTAATGCTGCTGCCCAGAATTTCTGGCCTGGCTACGATGAGGTCTGCCCAACTTGATGCAACGAAAACCCCTTTTGTGGATGTTTCTCCGTTTCTATAAACCTGACTTTATTAAAGTGCTTCAGCTGACTGGGCTGGGCTCCTTCCCTTGGTTCTGCTCAGCCCTGGAGCTGCTGGCACCCATCTGTGCTTTGCAGCATCCCCGTGCCTGTGCTAATGAGAGGGAGATTGATAAACTTACCAACACTGCAGTAGACAACACTCCAGTTGAGGTTTTTATCGTGCTGTAGTATGTTAAATCCTCTACTTCCATATGTGTGGGCATGTAATCTTCTCTTTTTCATCTCCTTCAGCAAATTTTTACATAATTCCTGGTGCCCCTGATCCTTTGCTCTGTGGTAACAGCTCCGATGCAGGGTGAGTGGTTGAGCTTTATTAAGAGGAATGACTAATTGCCACTGATGTTCGCTAATGATGACAAAACCTTTGGAATGTTTCCTGTTGCTTTGCTTTGTTGGTTCTGGTGTTATTTCAGACGTGAAATGTAAATGTTTCACATTCCTTAATCTAATTATGAAGCCATTGTTGCTGTCTGTTGCACTGATGTGATGCGAGCTGGCATTTCTCGTGTCATCTCCGGGGGTTGGGACGCCTAATGATGATGTCTGGTGGCATTATTTCCTTCTGTGTCCAATCAGAGAAATAAGGGATGGAGGCTCAGAAACAGAAACTTTCCCCGTGCCATTGCCTCCGGTTGGTTCTCACTGCCAACATGCATGTGATGGATTTGCCATGCCCCTTTCACTGCATCAGTGCCCTGAAATCTCTTCCCTCTTCTCCGCAGTCAATGTCCAGAGGGTTACACGTGCATGAAAGCAGGACGGAACCCGAACTACGGTTACACGAGCTTTGACACTTTCAGCTGGGCTTTCCTGGCTCTGTTTCGCCTTATGACTCAGGATTTTTGGGAAAACTTGTATCAATTAGTAAGTGAACGCTTTGCTTCGGTGTTGCACAGCATGAGAGTTAGGGGAAAAGACAAGGGAGAAAGTGTCGAGCTTCATTTGAGTTTTTCCTTGGAACTTTGCTGAAATGTTGTTTGTTTGCTTTAATTTCATTTTGCTTTGTTTTGAAGGAGTTTAGGCTTTGAGTTTTGCTTTGTACACCCAACTTCTTTTCAGTGTGCGTGCGTTGGATGGTCCCTTCAGAAGAGGGATGTCACCTTCTGTGTGTATGGCTCTGAACACGCAGGGTCTTTGTGCTTTGCAGTGGAAGCACTGAGAATTTTTATATTCAGCCCCACCGATATCTTAAATATATTCAGAAAATACTGTAATTTACTTAGGAGCATTCAGGTCAAGAGACTTTGGGTTGGCTCACATACATGCATCGCCCTGGAAATGGCATTCCCATCTCCTTTCCTCTTCCCTCTGCCGTTCTTCTTCCTTCCAGACCTTACGAGCGGCAGGAAAAACCTACATGATCTTCTTTGTCCTGGTGATCTTCGTGGGCTCGTTCTACCTGGTCAATCTGATTCTGGCTGTGGTGGCCATGGCTTACGAAGAGCAGAACCAGGCCACGTTGGAGGAGGCAGAGCAGAAAGAGGCCGAATTTAAGGCCATGTTAGAACAATTGAAAAAGCAGCAGGAGGAGGCACAGGTGAGTGTTTTGGTCGTCAGTTCTTTATTCGTTTGCATTTTTTTAATTATCTATTTCCCTGTAATCACAGTGACGTATAATAAACAATGCAGCAGTGCCATGGTTGGCTTTCTGGCACACTCTTAAAGCAGCAAATGGGGTGTTGTTCATTGAGAAGCTCTGATTTATTTCTCTGTTCTCCTTCAGGCTGCTGCCATGGTCACTTCGGCAGGGACGGTCTCTGAGGATGCTGTGGAAGATGATGGTGGAGGGAGGATGTCTCGGAGCTCATCGGAGATCTCTAAACTGAGTTCCAAGAGTGCCAAGGAGCGCCGCAACCGGAGGAAGAAGCGGAAGGACAAAGAGCTGTCAGAAGGAGAGGAGAAGGGCGACAACGAGAAAGTGTTCAAGTCAGAATCAGAAGATGGCATGAGGAGAAAAGCCTTCAGGCTGCCAGATAACAGGATAGGAAGAAAGTTTTCCATCATGAACCAGGTAGTATTCATTTCCTTCCTTAGCATAAACATGCTTATTTGTAGTCAGAATCATACTCTGTTTAATCCCAATTAGAACATCAGAAGGATCTGCCCCCTACATTGACACGTGCAGGGGATCAGGATGTCACTCATGGCCCTGGCATAAATTGCTGCTGAGATTAGTTGTTCTACCCAGATCAAACTTCTTCACCGGTACAGCTCAGCCAAGAGTGAACAACATGTCCTGAGTGGTGGTGGTTGGCATGGACCTGGAGAGGGAGCAAAACTGCTTTCACAGCTCTTACCATAACGTCACAGCATGGTTTGTGTTGGAAGGGGCCTTTGCAATCATAGAATGATGGAATCATAGCATAGTTTGGGTTGATGGGGACTTTAAAGGTCACAAAGCCATAGGATGGTTGGGTTGGAAGTGCCATCAATGCCCCCCAGCCCCACCTGCTGCCCTGAGCTGCTCCCTGCCCCCCATCAGCCATCCGGGTTCCCACCCGTGGCTGTGAGCACCTCCAGGGATGGGGCACCCACACTCCCTTGGGCAGCAGTGCTGGGGCCTCGCTGCGCTCTGAGCAATGAACTTCCTCCTCACGTCTCACCTCAGTCTCCCCTCTTTTAGCTGACAGCCATTGTGCTATTCACTATCACACCACGTAAAAAGTCGCTCTCCATCTCGGTTGCAAGTACTAGGAGGTCACAGTGGTGCTTTGTGTCCGTGCCACTCACCCCACTGCCCTTCATTCCCTCCTCCCAGTCTCTCCTCAGCATCCCCGGCTCCCCTTTCCTCTCCCGACACAACAGCAAGAGCAGCATCTTCAGCTACAAGGGCCGATTCCGCGACCCGGGCTCGGAGAACGAATTCGCCGACGACGAACACAGCACGGTGGAGGAGAGCGAAGGCCGCAGGGATTCCCTCTTCATCCCCATCCGCGGCCGCGACCGACGGAGCAGCTACAGCGGCTACAGCGGCTACAGCCAGGGCAGCCGCTCCTCGCGGATTTTCCCCAACCTCCGCCGCAACATCAAGAGGAACAGCACGGTGGATTGCAACGGCGTCGTGTCCCTCATCGGCGGCCCGCCTTCCAGCATGCCCGGCGGGCGCCTTCTGCCTGAGGTGAAAATAGATAAGGCAGCTGCCAATGACAGCGTAAGGAGGTTGATGTGTAGCTAGCGTAGGCATGGCGGCCTTGTCGTCCTCCTCTACTTCCCCGTATGCCGCCCTCCGAGCTGTCTGGGCACCCCGATGCGTTGAGTGTTGGTTTGTCTGACTGCAGACGCCGGTGTCTGTTTTGGGTTCCGATCCCCACGCTTCGGCTTTCCCCTTTCTTCCCTTAATCGGACTTAACGAGCCCACCGCCTTTCTCCCGTCTTCCAAAAAAAAGGGCTTGGAATTTAAGAACCCTCAGCACGTCAGGGTGCTTCTCACCGAGCTTTTTGCAGCACTGGGGGAAGGGGGCCGACTAAAGCTTCTTGCAAATGCTCCCTACTGTAAGATAAACCTGGGAGCTTAAAGGGAAGTTGAGGCAGCTGTTCAACCCTCACTAAAAGGCCTCTTTGAATCTTCATAGGAAATGGCGGTACCTCGGAATGCCAACAAGGAAGTTATCTTACTGTAGAATGGGTTGGGTTGGAAGGGACCTCAAAGATCATGGAAGCATGGAAAGGGTTGGGATGGAAGAGATCTCAAAGATCATGGAAGCATGGAAAGGGTTGGGATGGAAGAGATCTCAAAGGTCCTTCCATGGAAGCATGGAAGGAGTTGGGTTGGAAGAGACCTCAAAGAACATTCAGTTCCCACCCCCTTCCATGGGTAGGGTTGCCAACCACTCAACCAGGCACTAGGACAGGTTGCCTAGGGCCTGATCCCACCTGGCCTTGAACACCTCCAGGGATGGGGTGTTGACTTTTGTTTGTACAAAGAAATACAGAAATCCTGAATGTTTCCATGAGTCTGCAGGCTGTTTGAACCCACATCCAACTGCGGGTCTTTCTGGAAGTATGTCTAGGGAAATTCCTGAGGGACTCTACTGGTTTCACAGCTTTACATTTTGAAGGGCTTGATTTTCCAAGGAAAGCTGTTAACAAGAAACTTCTTTAATTTTAATTTTTGAATTTTCCTGGGTTTTGGTTTTTCCTTAATTAGTCAGTGGAATTGGTATTGAGTAGCCTTCTAAGTGTATCAACAACTCAGGAGAGAAACGCAGCTCCAAAGTCATAGCTCAGTAAGGGAGGGCTGATGAGAATCTGGAGATCAAAAATCATTTCTGAGCAAAATCTGGTTACCATGCCTATAAATTCCAAGCAATTTTTAAAAACTGTTTCAATTCTTGCAACCTAATTGACCCTAATGAGTTACGTTTAAGCATTGGTTGCTACCACTTTTATTTTTCTTCTCCCGTTAGCATGTTAATACAACATTTTGCTTCAGTATTTAATTATCTTTTTAACACAGCATGAGCGTGGTAGGAATCGTAACCCGCATGATGCATGCGTAAAGGAGAAAGTTTTACTTGGCAATCCTAGAGCTGCTTTTATTGCTGTTTTCAGGTGCAGATTTTGAAATGAATGTCAATACTATGAAATACTCCAGTGGTCAGCTGTAACCGTTGCCTCTAATGAAGCTGGGATTGAATTCTCACTGACCAGACAGGATGAGGCATGGGCTCGTTAGGAGTCATTGCCTGCCTGCTGTTAGTAGTAGAGTAGAAACTGCTTTGCACTGTAGCAGGATACATTAGAAATGATTCTTAGGATATAATCCTCCCTTTGCCTGAGGCTGCAAAGCAATGGTATGAGCAGAAGTGGGGGCTTGAGTTTTGAATTGACCACTTCTGTCATATCATCGTCTTCATTGTAGGATGGGTCGAGTTGGAAGAGACCTCAAAGGCTGTAGAACCACAGGATCAAAGATCACAGAGCCATAGGATGGTTGGGTTGGAAGGGACATCAAAGATCATAGAGCCATAGGATGGTTGGGTTGGAAGGGACATCAGAGATATCCAGCCCCTACCATGGGCAAGGTTGCCACCCGCTAGATCAGGTGTCCCAGAGCCCCGTACAACCTGGCCTTCAGCACATCCAGGGATGGAGCATCCACTGCTTCCCTGTACAGCCTGTAGGCAAGTGGAAAGTCTAGCAAGAATTAAGATGTTTGTTGTTGTTTTCTTTTCTCTCTTGGCCATGCCTCGTGTATCCCTAGGCTGGTAGCATGTAAAACACCAGAAAGATGAAAAGCTCATATTAATCTGCATATGAATGTTGCAGGGTACGACTGAAATTGAAATTAAGAAGAAACCTGGTGGGTCTCTCTTGGTCTCGATGGATCAGGTGAACGCCTCCTATGGAAGGAAGGATCGTACCAACAGCGTGATGACTGGCTTGACCAACACCCTTGTTGAAGGTAGGTATGGTTTGGAGGTTTGCTTTGGGGTTTTATGAGTGTGTATGGATCGATTGCCCTCTCGTGGTGTGTTTTAGGAAGGCAGAGGACCCATCCACCAGGCGGACCCATCCACCCCGTTTGCCCAAGGGGATGCTGAACGGTGGTGCTGGACGTTGTGAGATGGTTTTGGGGTGGCTGGTGTGACTAGAGCCATAGCTGCTTGCTAATGTTGGCCTTCCTTGGACTAGGAGATATAGGAATACTAGGCTCAGGTCAGGGCTGGGTCGTTTAGAGCTATACTGCACAATGGAGATATTAATGCATTGTTTTTACCCACACCTGCTTCTTTCTAGCCAACATTAATACAAAAGCATTTATGAGGCTTTATTTTACTTGGTTTTAAATATAAACCACGTAGGTGTGGAGGGGAAGACAACAAAGAGTTGTAATTTCACAATAATGAATACACAGTTATAGGAGTGAGATAATGGTATGGGTGCTCTGCCATCTCCCAAGGGATGGAAGGACCCTCCTTTGCTTACAACCATGGGGAGAAAAGGTTTGAGCTGCAGTAAGATGCAGTGCAACAGCTGTGAAAGGAGAAAGGGGCTTCTGCACGATGGAAGTTCTGAAGTACACAGTGCACAGAGATGCAGTTTCCAAATATGTTACACAGGAGCCAGCAAGAACTGGTGAGCAGCAGCCATATGAGGCTGATGATCTCAAATTCCTGCTGTCTCCTGCAATAAAACTGTATGAAAACTAAATATACTTAGAAACAGAGCAAGGCTCTTCTGCTGCTTTCCTCCTGCGCATACGCCTACAGGCTCCAGTGCTACGGTCCTCTTTTTTAACTTTAGAAATTCCAAGGCAACTCAACACTAGGCAACCAGAGAACCAATGAGAAAGGGAGCAGTGGTCCTTTCCCTCCCCATAAGAAAAAACAGAACTTCAGTGGGAGCAGCTGTACAGCCTCAATAAAGCCATCGCCAAAGTCAAAGAACGATGGGGGAAAGCTCCTGATTTATTTTCTTTCTAAGCACTTGAAATAAGCCAGTTTAAAAGATGGACGCAGCGTTGTGCTTGGTTTCTGTACACGAATGTGTTTGGTCTTAATCAGGTTATTTCTGCTCAGAACCCTTTGCAGCATGATGTCATGCATTTCCTCTTTTAGATCATGCCTGCGTTCAGCACAGAATTAATTTAACTTCAAGTTATTTAAAAACTGGCACCAAAGGCAGCATAGAATCTGCAGCTTTTATTTAAGCCATTTTACCTTGGTCAGTTCTGAGTTAAATATATCCTTTCATTTAGAACAATTAGAGCTCGTCCTGGTGGTCTTTGTTATTGGCCATGACCATCAACTCCACTGCTTGGTAACTCTTTGTATTAAGCCATCACCACACAGCCTGGATTTATTTCTTTGGTTTTGGGTATTGCTGAAGAGAAGGCAAAATGTAACTTTGCTGCAAGGAAGTTAACTCACTGTGCAAGCAGAGAGACAGGGGAGAGGGTCAGGATGTCCAGGCTGGGAGCATTTTAGCCATGCTGAGAGCCAGGCAGACCCGGCAGTGATAGAGGGGAAGACTGAACTCTGTTGCTGTTTTCTTTTGTAACTGTAGAGCTGGAGGAGTCCCAGAGGAAGTGTCCCCCATGCTGGTACAAATTTGCCAACACATTCTTGATCTGGGAATGCCACCCCTACTGGATCAAGCTGAAGGAGATAGTGAACTTAATCGTCATGGATCCCTTTGTTGACCTGGCCATCACCATCTGCATTGTGCTCAACACTCTGTTCATGGCCATGGAGCATCATCCTATGACCCCAGAGTTTGAACACGTGCTGTCTGTAGGAAACCTGGTAAGATAGCGTTGGTAAATATTCATAGAATCATTGAGGTTGGAAAAGGCCACTAAGGTCGCCAAGACCAACCCCAACCCACCCCACCATGCCCAGAACCACGTCCCTCCGTGCCACATCTCCACAATTCCTGACCCCCTCCAGGGACGGTGACTCCACCACTCCCTGGGCAGCTGTGCCACTGCATCTCCACTCTTTTGGAGAAGAAATGTTTCCTAATACCCAGCCTGAACCTCCCCTCTCCAACCTGAAGCTGCAGTCTGCGGCAGCTTGGGGATGTTGGGTGCACCTTTCTGGACAAAATGTAATGCTACTCAAAAATCCATCTGTAAGTCTCTGGTATGCCTGAGTAGGTCAGTGAGATTTGAAGCTGAGAATTGGGGACAAGCACACGGCGTTGAATAGACCGTGTTTGAACTGTCACGATGAATGGAAGGTTCATATGAAGACTGAAGATCACAAAGTGTGATGTTCACGGGTGTGAATCTGTGCCCGTTCTTTTCTCTGTCTCTCTCCCAACACTCCAGGTTTTCACGGGAATTTTCACAGCAGAAATGTTCCTGAAGCTCATCGCCATGGATCCCTACTATTATTTCCAGGAAGGCTGGAACATCTTTGATGGATTCATCGTCTCCCTCAGCTTAATGGAGCTGAGTCTGGCGAATGTGGAAGGGCTTTCTGTGCTGCGATCTTTCCGATTGGTATTCATCTTCCAGTCCTTTCTGAATGTTACTCTCTTACCTAAAGAAAAGGAATATTCCCCTCAAGGCTCCCTTTTTTTCTGCTTTTGGGGAGGACAGTGGGTGGAGTTGTATCATTTTCTTGGTCCCTTCTTTCTTCATAGCGCTGTTATGTTGTATGAAGTCTGATGCAGTGAGGGATGACTTGGTAGTGTCTTGGTTCAGAGTACTTAATGTGGATGTTGATTGAGTTCATTAGAACACACCTTTCATTTTCTGTGGTCTCTTGAGATAATTTAACAAGTCAGATTTGCTAGGATGTATGTGTAGCTTTTCCTTTGCTAATGGAGATCAGCATGTGGAGGAATAACTAAGCACAGAGTACACAAAATTGAATTGACAGAGGAGTTAAGCAATCCCTGTTGCCAGTGATTTCAGCAGCGAGAGCAGGAGGTTATGGCTGCATAAAATTCTTGATGGCTCTGGTTTATGCAGTTCTGCCTGATTGTGCCCTTTTTTTAAAAAATGATGAAATTAACTGTTGTTTTTCTGTTTGTTTGTTTGTTTTGTAGCTGAGAGTCTTCAAACTGGCCAAGTCCTGGCCCACTCTGAACATGCTGATCAAAATCATCGGTAACTCAGTGGGTGCTTTGGGCAACTTGACCTTGGTGTTGGCCATCATCGTCTTCATCTTTGCGGTGGTGGGCATGCAGCTCTTTGGCAAAAGCTACAAGGAGTGTGTCTGCAAGATCAATCCGGAGTGTGAGCTGCCCCGCTGGCACATGCACGATTTCTTCCACTCCTTCCTTATTGTCTTCCGTGTGTTGTGTGGGGAATGGATTGAGACCATGTGGGATTGTATGGAGGTGGCAGGACAGGCCATGTGCTTGATTGTCTTCATGATGGTCATGGTCATCGGAAATTTAGTGGTCAGTAAATGGTTACTGATGGGCTTTATTATTTTCTTCTGGGTGGGGTAGAGCACGGGAATACCTCAGGACAGGGACAGAACACGGGGAGACCACAGGTCTAGGGTGTCTCTTCCAGTTTGGTTGGGGTCCTTCATGGCCTTTGATGGATGAACAGTCCTGTTGACTTTGGTAGTAAAATATTAAGGCTGTGCTTTGTTTGGCCTTAGCCAGTTGCCCACAAAAACAGCATCCAAGCAGTTTGCAGTAAAAGCTTTTCAAATTCCAGGACAGGAAGGTCCTGAAGTGCTAAAATAAGGTTGGAGGTTTCTTCTAAAATCTGCCAGTTCAATCCTGCAGCATTACTGTATGCACGAAGGGACTGTTGAAGTGGCACAGGCTGTCATGGGGGAGCTCAGACTGGATCAGGATGTTTCTCTCTAGACTTGCATTTTGGGAAGAAAAGTCTATGGAGGAAAACATAAGTAAGATTGAAGCAGAGTGAACGGTTGTATATCTTACGAGTAGAGCTTGAGCCTTATCTGAAAGGACTTGTTTCTCACTGAAGGGATTTAAACAAAATGAGCCCTGCGACTATCTGTAGACGTGGGCAAGGAAATAAATCTGGGAGCGATCCCTAAAATGCCCCTGTGTGGCAAATTTCCTTTGAGCTTTAGATGGGCCCAAGGTGGAAATTTTACCCTCATGTGTAGGCTCTGCCAAGCGTGACCTCTTCTCCTCCAGGTGCTGAACCTCTTCCTGGCTTTGCTGCTGAGCTCCTTCAGCGCAGACAACCTGGCAGCAACGGATGACGATGGGGAGATGAACAACCTGCAGATCTCTGTGATTCGCATCAAGAAGGGCATTGCCTGGATCAAGGCGAAAGTGCGTGAATTCATGCAGGCTCACTTCAAGCAGAGGGAGGCGGATGAGGTCAAACCTTTGGACGAGCTGTATGACAAGAAAGTGAACTGCATTGCCAACCACACAGGGGCCGATATCCACAGAGACATCGATTATCAGAAGAATGGCAACGGCACGACCAGCGGAATCGGGAGCAGCGTGGAGAAATACATCATTGATGAAGACCACATGTCCTTCATCAACAACCCCAACCTCACCGTCCGGGTGCCTATCGCTGTCGGGGAATCAGATTTTGAAAACCTCAACACAGAAGATTTCAGCAGCGATACGGATCCTGATGGCAGCAAAGAGGTACGTGGAAATGCTAATTATCCATTCTTGTCATTTTTGACGCCTGAGCACCTGGAAGCATCTTGGGAAGGAGAACTAGATAGTTCCAGCACCAGGCTTCTGTTTTGCATTATGATGTTGTCTTGCACCCAAGACAGAAGCTTCTTGTGCTGGTTGCTTTATGGAGAACCATGCATACTTGTGTATTTACTTAGTGCATTTGGGCGTGTGATTAAAGGGACCAATTGAATGAGGTGTCTGTCCACCCTACTGAGATGTAAGCTGGGTCACGGTCTTAATGAGGTCAAGTGAGGAAACAGCTTTCTCTACAGTCACTGAATGACTTGCTGAGTCACCACGAGCTTCGCTATTTGGTGGGAGCTAATTATAGGTTGGAATGGGTTTTATTTTGTGTTCAAGAAACTGGATGATACCAGCTCCTCCGAAGGCAGCACCATTGATATAAAGCCTGAAGTGGAAGAAGTCCCCGTGGAGGCACCAGAAGAGTATCTGGACCCGGATGCGTGCTTCACCGAGGGTATGTTGAGTGAGATGGAACCTCTGAGCTGTTACTGGGACCCTTATCTGCTGTAAGCTTGCCTTCAGCTTAGGTCTGGGGTTGAGTTTTAGCTTCTTTTGAGAGCCTTCTTGGGCCCTCCATCACAGCTGAAGTAGGCAGGAAGCATTTGCAAGGTGAAGGCCTCAGAGTTGTAGCTGCCATTGCTAAGATCGAGCTGATTTATGGGTAGGGAAAGCTGATCTTTTGCACAATTGATGCGTTGAGTAGAAGCAGAAAAATCTGCTTCTGGTTTTGTTTTCTTTTTTTTCCCTCCTCTCTCTCTCACTGGCCTCAATGTCTTTCAGCAGCCAATTCGTTACAGGTATTCCCATGGCGAAGAGATGTAAATGGCTCAAGGTTATTCCATGGGCAGGTTCTCCATTCCTGTCCTGTCAAGTGCATGGATTTCTCACCAAATATAGCTAGCTTAACCTGTTCAGGAATTCTTCTTAATTCAGTTTCCCAGATACAGAAATGATGGAAGTAATCCCCAAAACCCCCCAAAACACACAGAGTTTTAACTGAAACTCAGCACGCTTGATATTATGGGCATCCAAATCAATCCCAAGCACTGAAAACGTTACGTTCTTACAGCATCTCATCCCCTACCCAACAAAATTTGGGGCTCACCCCTCCTTGTGCATCATTCCCTTTCCAGGTTGCATGCAGCGCTGTAAGTGTTGTCAGGTCAATATTGAGGAGGGGCTGGGGAAGTCTTGGTGGACCTTGAGGAAGACGTGTTTTCTGATCGTGGAGCATAACTGGTTTGAGACTTTCATCATCTTCATGATCCTGCTGAGCAGTGGAGCTCTGGTAAGTGGCATACAGAAGTGTGAAAAAGGAAACTGTGATGGTTCTTACTTGGCAAACAGCAGGTCTGCATTGTGGTAGGTGCTGTACAAAAGTCTTTCTCAGTAAGTTTGTTTAGTTTAAACCAAAAATGAAGATGCTGAGCCTGGATGTCTGGGTTCTGGCTGTATTTTGAATAGAAATGTAGTAATTTGAGATAGTTGATGCAACTGCTAGAGCAACTGTGTAAGGAATGTCATCCCTCTGCTCATCTCAGCATTGTTTGAATGAGCTTCTGGGTTAATTGCCACGTTGACCCGTGGAGTAGATCTGGTGTAATGACAGGAGTACTTGGTTATTCCCCAGGCTTTTGAGGATATTTACATAGAGCAGAGGAAAACCATCCGGACCATCTTGGAGTACGCAGACAAGGTCTTCACGTACATCTTCATCCTGGAGATGTTGCTGAAATGGTGTGCCTATGGATTCGTCAAGTTCTTCACCAACGCCTGGTGCTGGCTGGATTTCCTCATTGTGGCTGTATGTATCCTCTCCTCTCTCTTTCTGATTGGGAAAAAAAGCACATGTTACTTAGCAGAATGTTGGGGTGATGCTTTTTCCTGAGAAGTGTCCTAACTGAGTCATGCATTTGGTGTGGATTCAAACCCAGATGTGTGTCCAAAACGCGTTGGAGGGTTGAGCCCTTTGAGTATGGAGAGCATTTCCCGTGCAATTTGGGGATCTCAAGTGCTTGGATTCTCTTAAAAACATTTTGCCACATCCAGTTGTGATGTAGCATTGTAGTGAGTGCCCCAAGAGCAAATAGAATGCAAAAAACCTTAAAAACCTTCCAAGGCTCTTGTTGGGAGAAGGAACATTTTGAATATGATTCATTGATGCCGAGTTGCTGTTCAGCAACATTATCACTCTGGAAATATTTCTGAGTAGGTGGAGGAACTATCCTTGGAATTCAGGGGCAGAAGTGACTCAGGATGTCTACATTTCCTGTGGAAAACTGACTTTTATATATATATATATATATATTTATATTGCATTTTTTTCTTACAAAAAGCTCTGCTCCCCATAACACCTTTCCTTCTTACACACATATCCAAGAAGTAACTCTTCTTTTCTGAAAATAACTCTGTCACTGCCTTAAGCACAAGTGCTAACATGAGAACCAGCGCTAGCTGCCACCTATTCCTCTGTGCTGCTCTGGGGAGAGAGTTTGACAAAATGAAACCCTTTGGGGTGCAGTATTGCAGAGAAGAGCAGCTGCTCAGCAACAGAAATAACACTTATTGTCCTTATGCTTCATGTTGCGAGCCGAATTCCAGCTGTTGGGAACGAGCAAAGTGCCATTTGCAAATTGCACTGCATGTGGTCGTGATAGATTTGCAGGGAACGAGCAAGTGCAGTGCCAGTGGTCCATGCAAGGAGCTGAACTCGCAGTATTTAGGGTAAATTTCTCTTTGCTTGCTGCCACAGATGGGAAATTCGCGTGTTTTAGTCCACAAAATATAAATGGGAATTTGAGATGCCGAAAACTGTAGGATTAGCTGACGTTGCAATGCATGAGCCAAGGCTGAATGTTACTCAGCAAAACCTCAACTCTGCGCAGTATCCTGTCGCTGTTAAACACGTTTTATTTTCAAATTCTTTAATGTGATGTTGATGGGGTTGAGTGGAGTCACGTGGCGGCAGCCGTAACGGATAGAGAATAAGACTTTGCATCATAACGACGCTCTTGAATGTTATTTTTCAGGTTTGGTAGCATTGTCAAATAACTCTCCTCCTCTGATCCCCAAAGCTTGCTGGGTGTATTTGTGAAGACAAAGTCTTGTTCTGGGTAATCATGAAGGCTTCTGCTTTTCAGTCAATCTGGGATTCCTTTGGCCTGACATCGGTGCCTGCTGTGTCTTCTGTTGGAGTGTGCGAGAGAATAACACTGGAAGGGCCCCATGAAAGATGAAAGAGCCTTTAGACATTTTCCTGCCATTCTGATAGGTTCACGCTCAGGAATGAGGCGTTATCCTGAGGGGAAGAAGCTCTAAAAGTGCGGATTCAGTGAAGTCTGTGTTTTATATAGGGAGTAACGCACCTTGGTTCTGTACCTATAGACCATAGACCCCACAACCTCCAAACACCGTTTGATGTTGGTCTCACCTGCAGCCCATTTCTTAGGTGATTCCTTGTAGGCCTTCCCATTCTGTTTGTTTCCAGCGTAATTTTTATGTTCTCACTTTTCTGTGCAATCAGAGTCCCAACCTGATGCGATGTGGATGTGCCAAGGTTGCACTGCCCTTCTTCCCATCCCACATAGGCTGGTTTTGTTTCGTGAGGGCTTAGTTTAAACCCTTGGATTGCCCTTGGCATTTTTCTTTTTTCCAGCAGTATAACTTAAAAATAAAAAGCAAACAACCCAAAACGACATGGGGAAACCAAAGAGCCCTGTTGCCTTGTATTGTAGCATCTTGGCATTTAGCAGCGTTTTGGGGCAAATGCAAAGATAGAAGAAGCACGAAGCACACACACACACAGTTCAGCAAGGCAAAATCTGTGTCTTTCCAACATCCCTTTACCAAAGAGATTGAAATTATTCTGCTGCCTGGGTGGCGTTAACCACTGTTGTGAAGATGAGTACAGCTCAGGTACTGGTGTTGGATGATGTGCTTGACCCACAGAGGGTAAGAGCTTTTCCAACCCATCATACCACAGATGATTCTTTAGGTCAGATGGTGTTGCTTTATGCCCCTCTGAGCCCTTGGTTTGGTCTTACATATCAGGTGGGAAGAGGATTTTCACAATTGGTGAAGGAAATGCAGAACAGAGAACAGGAATTCCACCGTGTGTGTTTGTGTTTGAAATCTGGATATTTTTCCTGGAATATGTGGTGTTTCATAAGGATCATCTTTGTAATTAATTTCATGTTAGTATTTTAATGTCCGCTTTAAAAAAGAAGGGGGGTAAATGGGAAATGTCCTCTTCTGGGAAATAGGATCAAAACAAAAAACAAGAAACCCACCAAAACGCTCATGTTTTTCCATTATTTGTTGCTGTATATTGATGTCTTTTTTTTTTTTTCCTTACAAAAGACTGACTTTTCTGTTCTTATCTGTGTCTGTAACGTGATGCCAGCCAGAAATGGAAGGTAGTGGGATGCTGATGGGATGGTGTCTGTAGATGCTGTTTGCACACGGCCGAGTCATGCGTAATCCAATCCAAAGCGTTTCCCGTGGGCTCACCTGGGATTGGAGCGCTGCCCTACAGGCACGTGCCAGCTCCAAAAAGAAATGGCCCCACACTCCCAAGCTTTTCCTCAATGCAGTGAGAGCCCGGGCTGCACCAGTTGGCCAAAGACAGCCAGGAATTCATGGAATCATAGAATCTTGGAATCACAAGGTTGGAAAGGACCGACAAGGTCATCTAGTCCAACCATCCTCCTGTCACCATTACTACCACTAAGCTACTAAATTCTTCATAGAATCGTTAAGGTTGGAAAAGGCTTCCGAAATCATCAGCCAACCATTGATCCATCCCCAATAAACCACGTCCCCGGGTGCCACATCTCCACAGTCCCTGAGCCCCTCCAGGGACGGTGCCTCCACCGCTCCCTCTGCAGCCCGTGCCAATGCATCACCTCTCATTCAGAGGAGAAATTGTTCCCAATATTCAACCTGATCCTCTCGTGGTGCAACCTGAGGCCGTTGCCTCTCATCCTAAAGTCACGAGCGTGGAGCCTGGCGTTGATTCCAGGCTGTGAGCAGAACGTGTTGTCTTCGCGGCGTTGAAAAAGGGGCGGAAATGGACCGGTCCCAGTTCTGCCATCGTTCTGGGATTAGAGCCTGAGCAGCCATGTAATCCTGCATTCCCCCCATCAGTAAGATGCTGATCTACCCTCGCCTTTCCCCGGAGCTGTTTCCCCAGTGCTGCTTGGGTTTATGAGCCACCAGAGCTGGGATCAGCCGCCGTGGCCGCGTGCCCTCCGTTGGGTGCTCCCATTTTTCGGGGCCGTTCTGCCAGAAGCCAGCTCGGCTGCTTGCTGTACAAACGGAGCTCAGGTGGTGCAGTGTGTGTATTTATCTGTATTCTTTCTCATAGGTACCTTTAACATTTGTCTGGCTTAATTTAATGGGAGCCGCTGGGATCCTGCAGACATTACAGGGCGAGGGTAAGGTTTTTGTCATCCGTTTGGGCTCTTCCTTCCGACAGACCCCTTTTCTCCGTCTGTGTGTCTCTGCCTCTCTCTCACTTCTCTTTCCCCTATGTTCTTTTCTTATTGCCTTTCTCAACCGCATTATTTCCTTCCAGGTCGTTTCAGTCAAGTGAAGTAGGCAGCTGGTGTCATGTCTTCGGTATTTCTCTATGGGGGCCGCCCAGGCTGGCAGCCGGGGTTGGGCAATCAGGGCTAGGGGACTCGTGCTAACAGTCTGGAACCTTTTTTTTCTTTTTTTTCTCTCTCTTTTTTTTTTTTTTTTTTTTTTTTTTTTTTTTTTTTCTTTCTTTTTTATTTTTCCTCTTTCTTTCTTTCTTCTTCTTTTTTTTTTTTTTTTTTCCTTTTCTTTTCTTCTTTTTTTTTTTTTTTTCTTCTTTTTTTTCTTTTTCTATTTTCTGTGTAGGTCTCTTTAGTCAGCCTTATAGCTAATGCCCTGGGCTACTCGGAACTAGGTGCCATAAAGTCCCTTAGGACCCTAAGAGCTTTGAGGCCTTTAAGAGCGTTGTCCCGATTTGAGGGGATGAGGGTAAGATGCCATCAGCAGCTGATCCTTCTGCATGCCCGTGGAGCGGTTTTTTTTACGCATGCTAGAACTGATCAAAACGGGTGGAAAAGAGAATTCCAATCAGAAGTGTGGTGCAGCTGCTGACTCGATCACCTCGACCGCCGATGTCCCCCACCCTGCCCACCGCTGCGCACTCCCCAATTAAGAAAGGGAGAATGCATCCAGCTGCCTCATTACATTAATGACCGGCCCCAACCACGTGCCATTTGTAGACGATGTTAACACTTGGCTGTTCTCATTGAGCCTGGCTTTGACCTCTAGCATCCGAGGGGGCTTCTCAGCTGTGACTCTTCTATCTAGGGAGAATCACCAGGTGCAAAGAAGCAGAATTCGAACCACCCCAGGCTCTCCGCCGCCTCTTGGTGGGGTCGGATGGAAAGAATCTCTGAGGGGCTGCCAAAAAATGCAATGCAGGGGGGTGAGAGGCTCCAGGAAGGGACCAGCGGGGAGCTGGGCTGCTTGCAAAAACGGCCTTGGTTTAATTCCTCTTGTTGCACCTTGTTGTTCTCGGTCCAGTCTGGCGGTGACTGGAAGCCTTGTCTGGTAGTGAAGCTTTTTCCCTTTCCACTCCCTCCCTTGTACCCTGCTTTGACGGTCCCCTGTCCTGTCACCGTCACACGAGCCACGAAGCACAAGCAAAGCATTGAACTTAACAAGCTTTCCTCAAATTGTTAGCCAGATTTGGAACGATTTGAAATTATTTCACTGCCTCCTGCTGCTTTCTTTGCTCATATCGGTATTTTGGTGCCTATATATACTTTTTTTTTTTTTTTTTTTCCCATTTGGGATTGAAACACTCTCAAGAACATGCAGAAAAAATACATGTGAGTGAAGGGTATGTCATGTGGATGGATTTTCCCGTTGCTCCTAGGTCAGTAATTCAGGTCTTTTTTGTTGAATCCCAATTGGCTCACAATGGGAGAGATTATGAGAGCTAAGGTTATATTATATATATTGAAAGAATAGGGGGAAAAAAAATAAGAAAAAAGGGGGAAGAAACAGCATCTGCACAGTTCTACAGTTCTTTTTTTTCTTTTTTTGCATGGTCTGACTGGAGGATCCCCCCTGAGTCCTTCTGATTTCCTTTGGATTTGCTCTGCTGTAACTGAGTGCAGAGTGCAGCGCAGAAGGGGCCACAAACCGATGGGGAATCCCCAAATTCTGCAGGAAGTGATGGAAAGAAATGAGAGAATAAATCCAAAGAGGGTTACCTCTTCCCCAATGCATTCCCCCCCTATTTTTATTTTTATTTTTTTACCTTACCAGGCTCTGTGAGCTTCATGCTAAGCTTCACAATGCAATGCAACAACACAGGATGGCAATTCCTCCATTGGCACCGAGCGTCCATGTGCCACTTCATCCCTTCCTTGCGCCCATTGGGCTCCTCTGTCCCTTTTTTTGTCCCCATAAGCCAATAATGCTGTGATGCATTTCATCAGGACGGAAGGATTTCGCCCCCAGCACGCAGCCAGCACTGCTCTAATGAGTTTTATTGCCACATGGTGGTTTTTGCACGTGGCGCTCAGCAGAAGGGCTGCTGTGGGCACATAGGAATTAGTGCTAAGCCTGGAGGTATAAAAAGCCCAGCGAGAAGTGGTGATTTGTAATGCACCATCAGGATATTCCTCGAGTTGGGAATTTCCATGACAGCAAAACCAATGCAGAGTTCTGACCCCGGAACCCCATCAGTTACCAAAAACCAAAGGTTTTTTTTTTTTCCCTTTCTTTTTGATTTTAAGATGAGTGCTGCTGCACTGTAAAGCCAGAACCATCCTTCAAGAGCCAGAGATTGGAAATGCCTTTGCAAAGGAAATGTGCAATGCAGTTCTTTGCTTTTCTCTACTCCGTAGTAATCTGCATTTTAAAGAGTCTGCTCTGCTCTTCAGTAATTCAGGGAGTCCGACAGCAGTGCTGTGAAACATGCATGCCTTTTTGTCAGTTGCTGGTGTTCGGTCTGTGCACAAAAGCCATGTTCCTTCGCTCAGATCTTCTTCAGTGGTGCACAAATGTCACGCAATAATACGTAATGACGTGTAAATTTATTTTGGGAGGGTATAGTGCTTTCTTTGGATGCAACGAAGTGGGTATCTGAAGCATCTTAGAACAAAGAGGCACGATGCTGTGCTGGAGCACATTCCCTTTGGACAGTGGAAGCAAAGCTTTGTTATCTCTAGGGCCTGGCTCTAATCTTTGCCTTTTTAACCCGATGTAGACAGGGGATGAAGTCTTGAGGTCATTTGCTAGTTGTTGCATTGCTGCTAATTGCCTGGATTGCTGCTTTCTTCAGTTTTTCTCTGTGCTGGAGGGCAGGCACTCGCTACGGAGCTCATTGCACACGCAGTGACTGCATCGAGCAAACAGATCTGGTGGGACGGTGTCACATTGCTGTGCCAGGAGCAGTGGCATTGCTCTGTGTGTGCCCAAGCTCAGGCAGAGGGGTTAAAACAGTTCAGACTCTGCTCCTCTATTCAAGGAACCCGATTTAGGAGCACATAATAAAAGATTTAATATCCTGCTGCCCTTAACTCTATTAAAAGCCTTGGAGCTTCAGTTTGCTCCCGTGGTGGCCAGGGATGCTGGAGGACGTGGTGCTCCCAAACGAGGAGAGGCAAAAATTAGGGGATGGTGCCCACTGCCATCTTGGTGTTCACTGCCATTGGAGGGAGGAACATGGCTTCTCTGTCTTCTCGAGCCTGCCTAGCTGCATGCTCAGCTGTCTGCCTGAGATGACACGGTTGGCCTTGCTTAGTCACCCGGAGACCTTGTGAACAGAGCACTTCTGCCTCAGTCCCGTTGCCACCGAAGTCGGCGCCGTGTTGGGTGGTGACCTCGGTGGGAGCTGGAAGCGGGCATCCACGCCATCACAGCCCTTGTTTGACAGTGGGGAATGGCCGTAAGGGCCCCTGCAGGCCAAGAGCCACCAAATCCATCAGCAAACGCACCCTCAGATGCGCTCTGAGTGGTCTGCAGTCAGGAGCCAACGTGAGGTCGCTAAGCCTCGCTAATTATTGCCCCCATCTCCCTTTGGGTGATTAAAACGATGGGAAAGGGAGATCGTTGGCCTAAAGAAACGACTGATCCAAAACCGAACCCGGCAAATCCAACACTCTGCCCTGTTTTAATTGGAAAACAGAGCTTCAGAGGTGGATTTATGAAGGGTTTTTTCACAGCTTGGAATAAGTTCACTGCCAACTTCTGCGTGGAGTCAATGACACCGATCTGTCCGTGGCCTTACCTCCTATTCCCCCCCAAAAAAGTGCTGTATTGATGCTTGCTGTCTCCTGCCTCGTGTTTTGTACTGAAACTTTTTCCCACCCCTTCCAACACAGGTGGTTGTCAATGCCTTGGTTGGCGCTATCCCTTCCATTATGAATGTCTTGTTGGTCTGCCTTATCTTCTGGCTGATTTTCAGCATTATGGGGGTTAACCTGTTTGCTGGGAAATACCATTACTGCTTTAATGAAACATCTGAGGAGCGCTTTGAAATAGACATTGTTAACAACAAGACAGACTGTGAGGCGCTGATGCCACCCAACTCCACTGAGATCCGATGGAAGAATGTGAAAATCAACTTTGACAACGTTGGGGCAGGATACCTGGCTCTTCTGCAAGTTGTAAGTGTTGCCTTCATCTCCTCCACAGTAGTGGTAAAAAGAGGCTTTTTCTCGTGTATTCTCTGCTTCCCCCTCTCCTTGAAATAGAGCATCCCATGGATTCCACCCAACTTCGGGCTGGGAGTAGAATCCCTATTTTATTGTTCATCCATTGGCCTGATGTGGGTCCCCCAGCACAAGTGGCCCCAGCTCCACTCTTTAAAGATTGTGCCCAATCATCCGTGGGCTGACAGTAAACCTGCCCTTAAGTATTACTTAATATGACTTAAATATTAGTCTTTTCCTTTATGAGTTATTTATAAAGGGACATTAAGGGTGCCATTGTGACACAGCTGGCACAAGTCAGACTTGTTTGGGTTTCAAGCTATTTCAAGTAATTTCTGTCTAAGGGAACGTGTGTTTTCTTTCCTAGGCAACATTCAAGGGCTGGATGGACATCATGTATGCAGCAGTAGATTCCAGAAAGGTACAGTGCGTGGCCACAAGCACTCTCACCCCCAGCAGCTCACACTGCTATTTTGCTTTCATAAAACCAAGAGTAAAAATGGTGGAGCTGTGTTTGTATTGTGTATTTCATTTTGTCATAGCGTGGTTTTTCATTTGCTGGTGGTAAGTTAAAGGATGCTGAAACAACCCCCAAAAGAGCATTTGTTTGGTTGCTTTATTAGGGGAGGGGAAACTCCCGATTGCCTGAAAATAGACTGAGAAAAGATCTCGTTTTGACTCCATGGGTAAGATGTCTTTGAAATGTCATTTCCTTCTCTTCTCGTCTCCCATTCAGCAAGAAGAGCAACCCAAGTACGAGGACAACATCTACATGTACATATATTTTGTTATCTTCATCATCTTCGGCTCCTTTTTCACTCTGAACTTGTTCATCGGTGTCATCATTGACAACTTCAATCAACAAAAGAAAAAGATAAGTGCTTGCTGTGTGCTCGTGGAGGTCAACACCCACTTGAGGAACGTCGACTTCCATGACAGTGGGGTTTTTCTGCATCCTGAGGCAGAGAAGCTCCATCCCCAGCCCAGTCCAACCCCTTTTAGAGCTGAGAGCTGCAGAACCACTGTGAACTGAGGCAACCCAAAGCTTTATATAAGAACTCAGCCTGGATGGAGCTTCTCCCCAGTAGCATGAATTTGCATGTGTTTGTTTTTTTATTTGCTTTTCCTTGTCTGAAATGCATTAGGCTTGAAGTAAGATGTCTTCCTTGCCAGTGTCATTTTCAGTATCTCTCTCTGCTTTTCCTCTTTGGGAGACAAGCTAAGGATTTGCACGTATGGAGCACTTGTTAAATGGCATCAGTTTTAGTAAGAACTCTGACACCTCTGCTGCCTGTTTATCACAAATCAGATAGAGGGGATGAGGAAGGATAGAACAGAATAAAGCTCTATAGGAAAAAATATTCCATTTTCTTTAAGGGAAAATTGGTACATCTTGGGTATTAGTGTAAGTTATTGCTGTCTAAAATAGCTGCCACCAACTTGCCATATGGCAGGTATCCTCATGACTTGCTGCTGTGTTCTTCCTTTCCCTTCTGGTGCTTGAACTGATTGTAACCAGTTTTCCTTTTGCCCCTTTACTTTGGAGGTCAAGATATTTTCATGACAGAAGAACAAAAGAAATACTACAACGCCATGAAAAAACTGGGCTCCAAGAAGCCTCAAAAGCCAATTCCCCGACCTCTGGTGAGTGTATTAGAAAGGGAAAAAATGCAGAACAGACTTCTGAAGGAGCTTCAGCTCCAAAAGCATCCTTTGTTCTAACTCATGCTGGACAGCACATCATCATCTTGTCTCCTCCTAGCACTAGAGTAGGGTCTTGGGCCATATGGTTACACCAGTCAGGACCTGGGCACATTTCCCTGCTTTGTGAAGGGCTTTGCATGGTGAGATCTGTAGGTAATGCCGTGGGTAAGTCATCACGGGTAAGTCGTGCTGCAAGGCAGACCTGGCTGCTTCCTCCAGTTGTGATTGGAATTGTCAGCTTGCCTTTGCTCCCACCAAAGAACGAGATGCTGGTAATAGGGATATAAATAATAGCATCTTCCTACCTTTCCCACACACAGAGTGATCTGTGGCTAGAGCGTGCCTTGAAATCTTCAAAGGGTACTGAGAAACAGTGTCCTCATCTTGTGCTTCTACCAACAAGAAAGCAATATGTTGACTGATGGCAGATCTTTGTTCCAACCTGTTTGGCTCACGGCCTCTCTCTCGTTGCACAGAACCGCATTCAGGGAGCTGTCTTTGACTTCGTCACTCAGCAAGCATTCGACATCGTCATCATGATGCTCATCTGCCTCAACATGGTGACCATGATGGTGGAGACAGACACACAGAGCAAGCAGATGGAGGACATCCTCTACTGGATCAACCTGGTGTTTGTCATCTTCTTCACCTGCGAGTGTGTGCTGAAGATGTTCGCCTTGCGGCACTACTACTTCACCATTGGGTGGAACATCTTTGACTTCGTGGTTGTGATTCTGTCCATTGTGGGTGAGTGCAACGCCCATTTTTCTTTCTTGGTGTTTGCAGAGAAGGTGCATTCAAAGAGAACGTGTAGGTACCTGGACTCCTGGCTTCCCTTTTCACCCGTGGCAGTTTGGCAGCTCAAAGGCCCAACTTGCCTGCCTTCCTCCCTCTGTCCTGGCGCTCATTTCCAGTGGTATGGAGTAAAACACTTGACAATTACTCTCCTTATCTTTAAAAACAGACTTTTTACTCACCCCCTTAGAATGTTATAATGCTTACCAACCACTGAAAATAGCATTGCAGCACTTCCTACATCAGCATGTGATTTGCACTCTTGCTTTCTGTTTGGTTGGGAATTGAATTGAGCGGTTTCCTCCAAGAAGTTTTTGTTTTTAGTGGCTAATCTGTGAGATGCCTGTAACCTCCCAAATGCAACTTATACAAATACAACTTAAGGATCGTTTAAACCTGCCTGGCCCAAACATGTTGACAAAACCCAATCCTTTTCTTTTTCTTCAGGAATGTTCCTGGCTGAAATCATCGAGAAGTATTTTGTATCCCCCACTCTCTTCCGAGTCATCCGCCTGGCTCGTATTGGACGTATCCTGCGTTTGATCAAAGGAGCCAAAGGGATCCGCACCTTGCTTTTTGCCTTAATGATGTCTTTGCCTGCCTTGTTCAACATCGGCCTCTTGCTCTTCCTGGTCATGTTCATCTTCTCCATCTTCGGCATGTCCAACTTCGCCTACGTCAAGCACGAGGCTGGCATCGACGACATGTTCAACTTTGAGACCTTTGGCAACAGCATGATCTGCTTGTTCCAGATCACGACGTCGGCTGGCTGGGATGGCCTCCTGCTGCCCATCCTAAACCGGCCTCCAGACTGCGACCTGGACAAGGAGCATCCCGGGAGCGGCTTTAAGGGGGACTGCGGGAACCCCTCGGTGGGGATATTTTTCTTTGTGAGCTACATCATCATCTCCTTCCTGATCGTGGTCAACATGTACATTGCCATCATCCTGGAGAACTTCAGCGTGGCGACGGAGGAGAGCGCGGACCCGCTGAGCGAGGACGACTTCGAGACCTTCTATGAGATCTGGGAGAAGTTCGACCCCGACGCCACGCAGTTCATAGAGTACAGCAAGCTGGCGGACTTTGCCGACGCTTTGGAACATCCTCTGCGCGTCCCAAAGCCCAACACCATCGAACTCATCGCCATGGACCTCCCTATGGTAAGTGGAGATAGGATCCACTGTTTAGACATCCTGTTTGCCTTCACCAAACGCGTCCTGGGGGACAGCGGAGAGCTGGATATACTGAGACAACAGATGGAGGAAAGGTTTGTGGCTTCCAATCCTTCCAAAGTGTCTTACGAGCCCATCACCACCACGCTGCGGCGCAAGCAGGAGGAGGTCTCGGCCGTGGTGTTGCAGAGGGCTTACAGGTCGCGGTTGGCGAGGCGGGGGTTCATCAGCCGAAGACCCCTCCCCACCAAAATGGAGAACGGAGGAACAAACAGGGAGAAGAAGGAAGGGACGCCCTCCACCGCGTCGCTGCCGTCCTACGACAGCGTCACCAAACCCGAGAAGGAGAAGCAGCAGCGGGCGGAGGAGGGAAGACGGGAACGGGCGAAAAGGCAAAAAGACGTCAGGGAATCCAAGTGTTGAGACAGAACGCTGGGATTGTACAAACCTAGGGAAAAAAAAAAAATATATCTATATTTGCAAGCGGAAAAAAAAAAAGAAAAAAGAAAAAAAAAAAAAAAAAGATTGTTTACAAACTTGGTGAAATATATCCATACAGAACAGCTGTGGAGACACTTAACCTGAAGATCTTATACCAAACATAGTCTGCTTTCCTGTGTGACAGCGTTGCATCTAAAGCAGTGACCTTCCACCTGTTTAAAGGACCCCTGTGCGAACAAACATTTAAAACAAAACAGGGAAAAAAAGAAAAAATATGGATTTTCTATTGTTCAGGCAGGTGGATACTGCATGTTCCACATCAGTCAATGCAACTTAGGACAAACAAGCAAAATAAAACACAAACACACACACAAACACACACACACACAAATAAAACCCGCTGCTGGGATTCATATATTTTCCAAAGCAGCCAAAAAATGGATTTTATTTTCCCATTTTGTTGGTTATTATTGAAAGAAAACCCAGAAGTCACGATGTTAAGGGGTTTGTTCATGCAAAAGTAGATCTGCATTTAGTTAAGCAGCAAAACAAAGAAAACAAAAAAAAAAAAAAGGAAAAAAAAAGAAAAAAAAAGAGGAAAAAGCGAAAACAAGCGAAACAACAAAAAAAAAGAAACTAACCACCCATTTAGCCCATGCCATTTAATTAATTGTCATAGTTTATTTGATATTTATTATCTGCATTCTACTTTCTACATGGGCTTTACTTGGTTTGGGAGATGGGGTAATCGGGAACCTTCAGCCTGGAACCAGCTCAGGCTGAGCCCCCAAAAATAAAAGTGCTCGTTCAATGCATAGAAACGATTTGCATGATGGCATGCCGTGACCAGGAACCATGCATGAGGAACCATTAAACCACGAGACACTCAATAATCTGTCCACAGCAGTGTGTTAAGCCATAAATTCGAGGCACTCCACTGACTTACCGTACACTGTATTTGGAGATTAACAATAATTGTGCCCTTCACCGGTACTGACCCGTTCTCAGCAATCTTTCATAGACCTGCCAGTAGGAAACAAACAAACAAAAAAAAGAAATGAAACAAGCAGATGAAATCCGTGTGTGTATGTTTGACGACGTGTCTTTCTTTTCCATCCAGCCATCTTTTTGCACACCGAAATAGAACTCAACTCAATGCTGCTCTGGACCCAGTCCAAGGGGAGACGTTAAGAACTGGGAATGGCTTGTTCTACTTCTTGTCACTGTAAAACCAAAATCTAGGGCTCGAATACCAGTCAGCACGTTGATTTGTATCTCGCAATAGTTGTCGTTAGCATTAATTACGATTCTGCCTCCATCCTGCAGCGTAGACACACTTGTTTTGTTTTTTTTTAGTTTAGGGATAAGTGCTGAGGATGGTAGAGATGGCAGCACACAGCCCCTCGGTAGGGCTGGGGAAGGGGCCATCACTCAGCTGTGCCATGGCCGTTGGGTGGAGGGGATGGCTGGGAGCTCCAGGCCCCTTCTGCTCCTCCATCAGCACTGCGTGTTGGCGCAGCAGTTTGGTTTTCTTGCTTTCCGTAGCCACAGCGATTTTTATTGTGATTATTCTGTTGTGGGTTGGTTGTTCTGGATTTTTTTGTCTTTTTTTTTGTCTTTTTTTTTCCCGTTTGTTTCAATCAAAAGGCAGCACATGCCCGTGGTCAGTGGGAAAGCACCAGCCCGGGGGTGCAGGGGGAGAGCCGGGCGCCAGGTGCCTTCACCTCCTTCCCATTTCTTCCACTTCCATCGAGTGGCGAACTCGAACGGCCCTGCAGGGTGGGTAGGAATCAGAGCTACCTCTTGCCTAGTCTTCTCGCTGCAGCAGCAACCGATGCCACAGAGGAGAAGTCCCAACGTTTCTTTTTTCCTAATGACCGCAGCGTCCTCGGCACCCAACCGCCGCTCAGTGGAGGTTCACTCTTCAGGGCCAGGATGGGTTTTCTTCCAGGGTAGGAAGGGCGGTGATGGCTGAGGGCCGAACCAAGGGGACCCCAAAGAGTGGGAGAACCAGGACCTGGCGGTAGCAGGAGGACAGAGGTTGGCATCATCTCACGGCCCACTTGGGTGCCCAGCGCCGTGCCCAGCGCGACGGCCATGGAGCCATTCTGCCACCCCAGGAACACGGCGAGGAACCTTTTCTATCCTCTTTGCTCTTTGCCCCAGTTGCTCCTAGGATGTGATGTATAATAAAACAGAGAAAACATACATATGTACAGGCTACATTGTAAACAGCACAAGAAAAAAAAAATAGCTGAAAAGTGTGGTTGAACTTTTTAAGAGAATATTATAAATACTGTAATATATCATTTTATTTTATCAGCATGCCTTTTTGTAAATACAAAGAACTACAAAAATAATAGAATGGCTTCTGGCTTATGCCATTGTCCATGTTTATTTTTATTTTTTTAATATCTTTCTTTTTTTTCCTTAGACTTTAGATAGCCAGTAAATGTCCCCCAAAGAAAACAAAAACAAAACAACGCAACAAAACCAAAACCCTACCCCCCCCAAAAAATAGATTTAAACAACAAAAAAAGCTTTATTGCAAATGGATTTTGCAACAGCAGAAGTATATATTTTTGGGTTCCAGTGTGCAATAAGTCGACCACTTCTATGCAAGATTTGGCTAAACTTCATAGTTGTTCTTAAGCTGGGCTATTGACTCGCAGGTGAAGCTTGGTGCAATTAGCATTCATGCTGGCAATCCCATTCAGCTACTCAGTTCCTTCTAAAGGAAATCCCTTCAAACTCTGTATATATATTTATTTTTTTAAAACATTAGATCCGTACTAAACGCAAGAGGTCGGTGGTGGCGTTAGTTGGTGGCAAAGGAACAGGAATGAAGGGTTTCTTCCACTGTTCTTTGGCTGAACGGAAGGTTCTGGGTTTTTGGTGCATTCTCAACCTCTTCGTTTCCTGCTCGGGGCAGTCAGTGCCATCAGCCACTGCAGCCGATGGATCTGCGTTTCTGGACATCTTCACTGGGTGAAGCCAAGGACAGAGGGGAAACTTTGGTCCAAAAGCATGAAGGACGTCGGTGTCTGAAGTCAAAGGCGTACGCTGGGATTTATATTCCAGATTCAGGGTTATGGGAACAAAGCTGAGGGTGTTGTTGTCAATGGAAAGGACGTAGCCAAAAAGCCAAGACTACAGCAAGTAGCTCTCTTCCCTCCCCCCGTGTCCAAGTCCTCCCTTTTTGGTTCATTTGTTACTGTGTAAAAGAGCAGAGGGGAAGGGCAAAAAGGAAATACCAATTTAAGCTGCTTATTCACTTTTCCTGTTCACCTTTTTTTAAAAATATAGAAGCCAATGTTGAACAACAAGAAGAAAAAGAGAAATTAAAATAAAACCATGATGTTAGAGGCCACACCCGAGTTCGGATTGTTTAATTTTCCGCCGCAAAAAAAAAATAAAATAAATTGTTAAAGCTGTAAAAGATCAATAGTGAAGATTAGTGTATTAGAAATTGCATGGTGGCTCATAATGATCTTACCCAACATGATTAAGGATTACGTTACTATAAGCCAAAAGACAATAAAATAAATGTTACCCTTTTCACTGTACAAGGTCGGGTTGTCTCGGTGTCCCAGTTATTTGCCTGGTTGTCCTCTCCATCCTTCCTCCAAGGTCTTCTTTGGTTTGGTTCGATGTTAACGCGATGACCACAGTGAGATGTTGGGGTTACGTTGGTCCGTCATCTCCCAGTGGGAGCTCTGTCTTATGTCACATTGGGGACGACCCTGGAGATGGGCTCGGTGGTCACAGGGCATCCCATGCCCATGTCCCCAGCACTCCCTGCCCTTGGCCCTGCAGCATCGGTGTGGCTGGACAGCTCCAGAGCAAGAGACACCCAACCGAGGATGGTGCCCATCACCCATCCATTGGGCGCTTCCTGCAGGACAACTCTTTGCTCCCTGCTCGCTCAGATCCCGCATTTGGTAACAAGGGGACATCAAGGATGGGACCCACGCATGGCACAGGGCCGTAGGATCATAGAATCCCCCCAAGGTTCTGCTGCGTGGCGTCGCTGCCTGGCCCCAGAAGGGGATGAGGTTTGAGATGCTCACAAGCTCTGCGCTTTGCTTCTCCAGGGGTTAGGATCTAACCTGGAGTTGTTGCAAGGCAAAGGGCCAAGGGAGAACCTTGTAATCATCAATTCTCCTAGTAGAGTTTTGGTCCAAATTACTCATCAGATAGGAATATCAAATATTTGTAGGTCTCTATTTGGTTAAGCTTGGTGCCTTCACTCTGCTCCCAGCTTGGTCTGAACTCTGTTTCCTATCCCCATCACCTCCAGGTTTTATGTTCTGCTGTTTTACACGAAGAAAGGAGGAGAATGGAGCTGGCTGGGGTGGGAGGGAGGAGGAATGCCTCCAGGGAGAGCAGTGGGACGGGCGCTCTGTGTCTGAACATTGAGTTCCTTTGTACTGTACATCTTTTTACTTTGGAATTTGCAATAAAGAGCTCTGTCCATCTGATTTTAACTCCTTCCGCTGGCTGCCCTGTCGTTCTGTTCCCCTCATGTTAACACAGAGTATTCACCACCAAAAGCAATGTGCGAATTCACCCTGGTGTCCAGGCAGCTCTGGGAATGGGGAGACGCAAACTCCTTTTTCTGCCCCAAAAGCACAAGAAGCACAGCAGTAACACGACCTAAGTCTGGCCAGGGATGTGGTACTGGAGCAATAAACACAGGGCTGAGCATTTTGGGGTTGAGGTTGGCCATTTGCACGAGATGCATTGAGCTGCTGCAGTGCAGAGGCTGCTTTTGGCTCTGTAAAGAGTCCTGCAATGCCCTCAGCACAACCAAGTGATCACCATCAGAGTAGAAACAAAAGCTGTTCATTCCCCAAGCAGAGGGAAGAGCCCTGCGGAGGCTTTATAGAACAAATAAAGGCTGCTTGGATGCAGTGCGTCCCAAGAGAGCATCTTAGCCCACGTGGGACAAGGAAATCCCCATTGCAACAACCACACAAAGCTCACCCCAAACTCATCAGGGCACACTCAGGCTTTTGGAGAGGCCAAACTGCACTCGTGGAGAAACATCCTGCTGTAACCACTGCGCGTGTGCTCCACGACTTCCCCCTCCCCCTGCAAACACACGGCGCTCCCACAAGCCCTGAGCAGCATGCAGGGCCAGCCCTCATTCCGCTCCAGAGTGAACACTGCTGCCCTTTGCTTGGGGCTGGCAGGGACGTGGTGGACGACGTGCTGCAGCGCAGCAGATGGCAAAGCAGCGTCCGGGAACAGCGGGGCGCCGTGCAGCTCTGACCTTCCCTTCCTGGAAGGAACAGCCCTGAGAGGAGCAGCGCTGTGCCAGGAACCCACGGTGCTGCTGCTCCAGGAAACGGCGCTCTCTGAAGGGAAGGAGATACGGTTTCATTTTTAAAGCATTCTGTGGTTAACTGCTTCGCTCGTCTTTCAAAGGCGCCGTCGGTGCAACTCGGCCTTTAGTTGCTTCTTTCCATTTTTGTGGATGGGTGCAATCTGTTTCGTGATGCAAAGTAGAGGTTTTCATTCCAATGGCAGCAATGCAGATGGTGGAATCAGATCCGGAGCAAAAGAAGTTTCATTACTGCAGAGAACTTTCTAAGAAACGGAGACACTCAGACAAAACGTAACAGCAGCTGAACAACAACTGCTCCCAAAACAAAGCTCCAGGAGAGCAAAGGATGCTGAAATGCCCAAGTTCAGCAGGAGGGGATTCCTGTAGCCCTGGGGATGTTCCCACCTGAGGAAGGAGCAGTTTCCCCATTCCCTTCCCAGACATCCTGAGAGTATCGTGGCAACGGTTGCAGCAGAGGGGAAGGGAAAGAAGAGCTCAGAGATCCCATGCAGTGCTTGGGTACCACAAGTCCAGGGGATCAGAGACCCAACCAAGGCTTGGAGACACCTCTGGGGATTCAGAAACCCAACCAAGTCTTTGCAGACCCTATTGGAAGCTGGGAGACCCCACTGGGGACTTGGAGACCCAACCAAGGCCTTGTTGACCCCATCCAATGGAGAGCTCCAAGGTTGCAGCGGTGATGTGGCCAAGGGAGCTTAGCCTGGCTCCATCCCTACCCAAGGACATTCCAACACCCGGTGACAATTCACAGGAGATGCCCACTGGACATCCATTGGACATCCACCTTCAGATGCTCAAGGTGACCTAAGCCAAGGACAACACACAGGGCTGCTCTCTGCCTCAGCTCCACAACTCTTTATTGCTTCATTTTCCCACCAGCACCTGATGGTGATGCTCCAGTTCAGTCCTGCCCCCACCTCACGAGGTGACCGAGCCCAGTGCCCAGTGACAGGAGAACACAGTGACCACAGCAATGAGGATGGAGGCGACGAACCCCCCGAGGATACCTGAGAGCACGGGGCCCACCCAGCCCAGGGGGCTGCGGGTGTAGGGAGGGGGTGGCCGCCTCTCGAAGCGCAGATCCCCCACATCCCCCGAGCCCCTCCTGCTCCGTGCCATGCTGTACTGCTCGCCCTGCAGCAGCAGTGAGGAGGTGAGATGCTGCACGCTGCGGCCGTACTCCTCCACGTTCCTGCGTAGCTCCAGGCTCCGGTCCTGGTTCAGGTTTTTCCCCAACTCCCGGGCGATGTCGGGGCGCCCGATTTGGCGGAGGCTGCGGGCCAGTTGGTCCCACGATGTCACCTCTCCCTCCATTTCCAGCCACCTCCGTAGAGCCTCTGAGCAGCCGGGGCGATGGCGTGGGACGCGGGGATGAATGCTGTCCTTTGGGTTTCGCTCCGGTCCCCTCGTGCCCTCGCTGGGTCCCATCAGCTGCCCCTGGAGCTGGCGGCACTCAGATGGAGACAGCAGCGCGGCGATGCGGGCCATGGTGTGACGGCCAACATTGGCTGCCACCGTGTCCTCACAATGCCCACCCACTGCCACCAAGAGCAGGACGAGCCCCGCAGGTGCCAGCATCGCTCCAGCGCCCATGGCCACCACAGTGTCCCCAGCTGACATCACAGAGTGGCACATTCCAGGGACGTGTCTCAGCCCCTTCCCAGTGCTGAGCATCTCCTGCTCTCAGCTCAGCCCCAGACCCATCACTCCCCTAAATTCAGCACAGGGACAGCCTGCACGGGCTCTCCATTCCCAGCAGAGCAGCACCAAAACCCGCTGTTTAAGAACCATTTGGTCAGTGCCCTCAGACACTGAGTTTGATTTTGGGTTGTGCTGACTGGAGCCTGGAGTCGGATGCAGTGATCCTTATGGATCCAGCTTGGGGTGCCCTACAGAAGGGCCGAGAACCTCGTGCTGCCTGCAAAGTGCCTCAGGGGGCACTTCTAGCAGCGTCTGTCCATCCGTATGCCTGTCTGTCCATCCGACTATCCATCCATCCATCCGTCTGTCTCTCCACCCACTCATCTCTCATCCATTCGTCCGTCCAACCATCCGTCCGTCCATCCATCCATCTCTCCATCCACTCATCTCTCATCCATCCATCTGTCCAACCAACCATCCGTCCGTCCATCCATTCATCTCTCACCCATCCATCCGTCCGTCCGTCCCTCCAGGACGTCTGTCTGTCTGTCCGTCCGTCCATCCGCCGTAACCACGAGGTGGCATTGCAGCTCCGGTCACAGCCGCCTCCCATCTGTTCACTCCGTTCCCATCCCGTTTTTGCAGCTCCGCTCTGCTCAGCGCTCCCAGCACAGCCCCCAAAAGTGGGGCAGACCCAGGAGCAGCGCTGCTGCCCCGGAGAAGAGATTTCTCCAAAGACTGCAGCCGTCACACAAGCCTTAACGAGATCACTTCTTCCACCTTTCCGTTTACAACACTCACCCCCTCCTTCCAAACTGCCCCTAACGAGGGGATGTGGAACAGCCGGACCCCCCTCAAATGAGGATTGGACCCAATCTGCTCCTATGGAAGGGATGGGCAGAGCTGAGCCTCAGTTATCTCTATTAAGGGGCATGCCCCCTCCTCCGAGCTGTCCCCTATTAATGGGATGGGGCGCTCCTGGACCCCCCCAAACCACCCCTAACAAGGGATGGGGACCCACTGCCCCTCACTGCAATGCTTCCTCCTCCTGCATCATCCCCCCCCCCCGTTCCCTCAGCCACCCAGTTTGGGGCTGAAAATGATGAGATTGGGCAAAAGCTGGTGCCAAAACCATGGGATCTCCGGAGGGTTTTTTTGTAATCTCTTTAATACTGTGTAATACTTTTCTTTTTAAAATACAGTATTTCTTGAGGTAGACCATTACAGCTCGAAAGCATTTCTTATTTTCAGACATCAATAAGACATGAATTAAATATTTTCATGTACAATACGTTGCAAAATGAGGTAGAAATGGTTACAGAGAGCGTACAAATAGTGATCATTAATAATAATAATTAAAAAAAAAAAAAAAAAAAAAAGTCTTCAGGAACCCAGTACCACTTTTTGGAGGAGACGGGGAGGAGGCGGAGGTGCGTCCCCATTAATGCCCTTTGTGCAGGGGCTCCCGTGCACATTTCAATGGGAAAATGAGAAAAAAACGGGGGAAAGACCCCCCAAAAATTGGCTCCTTTGGCATCCTGAGCACTGCGGGGGGAAAGGGGGGGGAGCACCCCCATGCCCCCAATGCTCTTCTCCTGCTCTGCGTGCGCAGACCCTGAGGTTCGGGGGGAGACCGACTCCCAAACACAGTACATAGCACTATAAAACAAAAAACAAAAAAAAAAAACAACAAAAAAAACCCAAAAATTATCATCATTATTAATTATTATTATTCATTATTATTATTCATTATTTAATTCATTAAGCAGAAAAAATCAAACAAACCAACGAACGAAACGAAAAAGAAAACGCCACGACCCAACCGGACGGGGCGTCGAGGAGGGAGAAAGAAATGAGCCAAAAAGTGGTGCTGGGGAAAGGCTTCAAAACCACGGCGGGACCCCAAACGCCACGAGGGCAGCGGGAAGGAAAGCAGAGGGCGGCACAGCAAGCGTGAGAAGCACCCAGAATACATTCAGCTTTCATCTTTGTGACAGCTTCAAGTTTTGATATGGGTTTCTTTCTTTTTTTTTTTCCTTTTTTTTTTTTCTTTCTATCACCCTTTTATTATTATTATTATTATTTTGGAAGCCAACGCACGAGGCGGTTTTGTCCCACCTCCGCAAACCCTTAAAA